ACGGTGCCAGGAGGAAGAGATACAGAGACAAACATGACATAGGTCAGCTCTCAAGAAGATCTCTACTGGGGCGCCTGGGTGGCTCAGTGGGTTAAGCCTCTGCCTTTGGCTTGGGTCATGATCTTAGGGCCCTGGGATGGAGCCCCACATTGGGATCTCTGCTCAGCGGGGAGCCTGCTTCCCCCTCTTTCTCTGCCTGCTGCTCTGCCTACTTGTGATCTCTGTCTGTCAAATAGATAAATAAAATCTTTAAAAAAAAAGAAGAAGAAAAAGAAGCTCTCTACTATGGTAGACAATTTCAGCAGAGGGAGAGAGATGGGAATAGAACAGGAGTAGTTAGCCTAGCTTAGGGGTCAGAGAGGGCTTCCCGGAGGTAATTCTTAAGGAATGAGTAAGGATTAGTCCTATCTAACGGGGTGAGCTCTACCCAGACAAACTTTACAGTCTCAGCACAGAGGCATAACATAACAGGGCGTGGAGGAGACTGCAAAAGATTTATGCAAGATGAACACATATATGAAATCTTCATTTATAAATACAAACACGAGTAAACATAACATGTATTAAACACATGCATTTTATAACAAAGACCAGTATTTTACATAAATAAAATACATTTTACTCTGTAAGTTATTTCCACCACTAGATTTGGGAAAACAGCACCAGTTAGTAGGATTTTCCCAAAACTCCAGTGTCTACATGTTTAGACAACCAGTCCATCAGCAAGTATTTATTGAGTGCCTACGTGCCAGGTGCTCTCCTAAGTGCTGGAAATTCAGCAGTGAACACAGAGATGTGCCTGCAGTTAGGAAGCTAGCATGCCTGGATGGGTCAATACACATTTTGAAATGAATGAGTGAGTGAAAGAAAAAAAAATCTTACCCAGTAAAAAGTTTTCAGGAGAGGAGTGACACGGACATTTTTTTTTAAAAGATTTTATTTATTTATTTGACAGAGAGAGATCACAAGTAGGCAGAGAAGCAGGCAGAGAGAGAGGGGGAAGCAGGCTCCCTGCTGAGCTGAGAGCCAGATGTGGGGCTTGACCCCAGGACCCTGGGATCATGACCTGAGCTGAAGGCAGAGGCTTCAACCCACTGAGCCACCCAGACGCCCCGACACGGACATTTTTGAGTTTTAGTTGAATACAAAGAAATCCCACTCTTTCTGCTAAAAATAACTCAAATTCGTGCAACTAGTAGCAACCTCAGAGATGAGTCAGGCTTGCAAGAACTCAGAGCCTTAGGGTTACGAGTCCTAAATGCTATCGACACCCCATATCTGCAAGTTCAGATGTTCATGCGAGATTGAGCCGCGTGTTTTGTTTCTGTTTTTTTGTTTTTTGCTTCCACGGGCCTCACCGCCCGCCTCCCGCCAAGAGGCTCGGTACGTGCAATTTGGAGAGCCCGGAGCTCCGCAAATAGGGTTTCCCGCAGCAGAGGGGTCTGCGCTGCGCGGACACACGCCGCTGCCCACGCGAGCCGGGAGGAACCATCTGTCCCCGCCGAGGGGGTGTAGCGGGTCATTTCTGCGCGGAGTCAGGATCCGGACGCTGGGAGTCCCGAAGCGGCGTGGCCTGGGGTACCTTCTCACTGGACCGCCTGGAAGGTGGGGGGTCTTTGCCACGGCGTCGGTGGAGCTGCGGGCGGGGTCGGTCTTCTCGCAGGTTCTACCGGTACTTCCCACCCACCCCTCCGGCGGTGGACTCGGCCGCAAGGTCCCGGGCGTTTTGTTCTAGCTCTGCGGTTTCCCGCTCCGGCTGCGGCGTGAAGGTTGCAGGGGCCGGGGGCCACCTGGTGGGAAGTGGGGGTCTGGGTGTCTGGCGCTGGTTGCGCCCACGCGGTGCACGCGCGGGATCGTCCCAGGAGGGACCCGTGCCCCCATCGGCGACCCCACGCGTCGCCGGGCCCCCAGGCCTCTGAGGCCGCACTTCCCGCTCGCATGGGGGACAAGAAGCTGGTGGTGGTGTTTGGAGCCACAGGTGAGCGAGCGCGGGCAGAACCTCGCCAGGCCTGGCAGAGGTCCCCAGGGTGGGTGGCTGGGGCCTGGAGGGAGGAGGGTCTTGCATCTCGGACCCCTGACCTGGCGGGGGCAGGACCTGGGCGCACATTCCCTTTCACGTTTTATTTTAATTTTAAATATTTTATTTATTTATTTATTTATTTGACACAGAGAAAGAGCACACGCAGGGGGAGCAGCAGAGGGAGAGTGAGAGCAGCTCACGCTGAGCAGGGAGCCCCATGTGGGGCTCGATCCCAGGAACCGATCGTGACCTGAGCTGAAGGCAAACGCTTAGCGGACTGAGCCACCCAGGCGCCCCCGCCCTTTAACGTTTTTAAAAAATTAATTACTTGGGGCGCCTGGGTGGCTCAGTGGGTTAAAGCCTCTGCCTTCAGCTCAGGTCATGATCTCAGGGTCTTGGGATCGAGTCCCGCATCAGGCTCTCTGCTCAGCAGGTAGCCTGCTTCCTCCTCCCTCTCTCTCTGCCTGCCTCTCTGCCTTCTTGTAAAATAAATAAAATATTTTTTAAAAAATTACTTTAACATTTTTGAGTCCGTGGCACGTGCAGAGAGTATGGAAACTAAATCTCCCTCCCACCTCAGTCCTGGCAACCCCATCCATCACGGTCATCAAGTGTCTAGAGTATCTTGACACACAAAGATCTTTTTTTTTTCTTTCCTGTATGTTTTTCCTGTATATGTTTTTCCTATATATGTTTCTCCTGTGTATGTTTTTAAAAACCTACAAAAACTGGGGTGCCTGGGTGGCTCAGTGGGTTAAAGCCTCTGCCTTCGGCTCAGGTCATGATCCCAGAGTTCTGGGATCGAACCCCGCATTGGGCTCTCTGCTCAGCAGGGAGCCTGCTTCCTCTTCTCTCTCTGCCTGCTTCTCTGTGATCTCCGTCTGTCAAATAAATAAAGTCTTTAGAAAAAAAAAGATTAAAAAAAAAAAACTACAACAACTTAAGGTATAAAGCACAGAGCCACGGGGAGTGGCTCAGGTCATGATCCCAGGGTCTTGGGATCGGGGCTCACTTCCGGCTCCCTGCTTGGTCGGAAGCCTGCTTCTCCCTGTCCCGCTCCCCCTGCTTGTGTTCTCTCTCTCTGTGTGTCTCTGTCGAATAAATAAAATCTTCAAAAAGAAAAAATGGTATAAAGCATAGACCACACAATTCACCCATTTAAACTGTGCATTTTGTTCATATTCACAGAGCTCTGTGGCCATCACCACAGTCTGTTTTAGAACATTTCGTCACTCCCAGAGGAAACCTCATACTCACTAGCATTTCTCCTTTCTCCAGCCCCTGACAGCCATTAGTCTACTTTCTGTAGATTTGCCCATTCTGGACATTTCTTGTAAATGAAATCCTACAGGATGTGGCCTTTTGTGTCTGGCTTCTTTCACTTGGCATCAAGGTTTTGAGGTTCATTCACGTTGGGTGTTTGTTTATTTGTTTGTTTGTTTGGGTTGGGGTGAAGAGGAGCAGCAGAGAGAGGGAAAGACAGACTCTTAACCAGGCACCATGCCCAGTGCAACCTTGAGATCCTTGTAATCAAGAGTCAGACACTTAGCCCACTGGGCCACCCAGGCGCCCCAAGGTTCACCCACTTTGTAGCATGTGTCAGTACCCCACTCCTTTTTATAGCTGTATAATGTCCCATTTTATGGATAGACCATGTTGTGTTGATCCCGTCATCCATTGATGGACATTGTGAATAATGCTGCTGTGCAGATTAATGTACCAGTTTTCCTGTAGACGTGTTTTTAATTTGGGGGGGGGTACATGCTCAGACTGGAATTGCTGGATCACATGGTAACCTGTGTGTAGCCTCTTGAGAAACCACCAGACTGATTTCAAAGCGACTGCATCGTTTTACATTCCCACCAGGACCGTGTGAGGGTCGTTGTAATTCTGCAACTTACCTTTTCCACTCCAAGAGAGTTCGGATTCAGCTGTCCCAGTCAAACATACAGATCTGCCACATTGTTTTTAATCACTTTTTTATGGATCAATCACTTATTTAACCAGATTCTTTTTTTTTTTAGATTTTATTTATTTATTTGAAAGAGAGCACAAGAAGATGGGAAGGGTCGAGGGCGAAGCAGACTCCCTGCTGAGCAGAGAGCCCGACTATTTAACCAGATTTTTATCCAAGGACAAATGACTACAAATTTCTATTATTGTGGGGCGCCTGGGTGGCTCAGTGGGTTAAGCCTCTGCCTTCAGCTCAGGTCATGATCTCAGGGTCCTGGGATCAAGTCCCGCATCGGGCTCTCTGCTCAGCGGGGAGCCTGCTTCCTCCTCTCTCTCTGCCTGCCTCTCTGCCTACTTGTGATCTCTCTCTCTGTCAAATAAATAAAAAATAAAAAAAAATTTTTTTAATTAGAAATTTTTTAAAAATTCCACCATTACAAATAGTGCTGCAGCCTCTTTTCTTATATGTATATTTATGCTTTTTATTCCTTTTGATGATTTTACTTTTTGTCATTTTCTCAGTCATTTTAAAATCTTATTTAAAGGTTTACTTTTTAATTTTAAGTAATCTCTACACCCAAAGTGGGGCTCAAAGTCATGACCCCGAGATCAAGAGTCTCATGCTCTTTTGACTGGGCCAGCCTGGTGGCCTTTTAAAAAAAAACAAAAGAAGAAGGTAATACTGTATTTCTTAAGTCTTTTAAAAAAAAACAAAAGAAGAAGGTAATACTGTATTTCTTAAGGTAAGGATGGGTATATGGGTATTGACATCCCTTTATGTATGCACTAAATATTGTAATACTTTTTTTTAAATTTTATTTATTTATTTGATAGGCAGAGATTACATACAAGTAGGCAGAGAGAGAGGAGGAAGCAGGCTCCCCGCTGAGCAGAGAGTCCGATGCGGGGCTCGATCCCAGGACTCTGGGATCGTGACCTGAGCCGAAGGCAGAGGCTTTAACCCACTGAGCCATCCAGGCGCCCCTGTAATACATTTTATGTCTTCATTTTGTACAAGTAAACTCTACTCCCGACGTGGGTCTTGAACTCATGTGGACTCTGAGGTTGCGTGTTCTACCTCCCAAGCAGCCAGCTGCCCCATAATATATTTTAAACATTTGATAGAAGGTGTGATGCCTGCTAAAACATGGAGGAACTTTGAAAACAGTATACTAAGTGAGAGAAGCCAGCCACAGCAGACTATATATTGAATGACCCCGTTTGTGTGAAATGTCCAGAACAGGCAGATGGACAGAGACAAAGTAGGTGAGTGGTTGCCAGGGCTGAGACGGAGGGTGATAGGAAGTGAGTGCTGACAGGCATGGGTTTTCTCAGGGGGTGGGAGGAATGAAATATTCTAAAGTTGACTGGATGATGGTTGCATGCTCTGAGTATATATGTATTAAAAAAAACGGGCACCTGGGTGACTCAGTGGGTTAAAAGCCTCTGCCTTCGGCTCAGGTCATGATCCCAGAGTCCTGGGATCGAGCCCCGCATCGGACTCTCTGCTCAGCAGGGAGCCTGCTTCCTCCTCTTTCTCTGCCTGCCTCTCTGCCTACTTGTGATCTCTGTCAAATAAATAAATAAAATCTTTAAAAAACAAAACCAAACCCAACCACTGCACTGTATGCTCTATGTATTTATTTATTTTTAAAGATTTTATTTATTTATTTGACAGAGATCACAAGTAGGCAGAGAAGCAGGTGGCGGGGAGGGGAGCAGGCTCCCTGCGGAGCAGAGAGCCCGATGCAAGGCACGATCCCAGGACCCTGAGATCATGACCTGAGCTGAAGGCAGAGGCTTTAACCCACTGAGCCACCCAGGCGCCCCTTTTTGTATTTATTTAACCTGAAGCAGTCTTACTGATGAAATTCGAGGCAAGCGTGATGTGTGCACGGTGGGAGAAGTCTCAGCTGCGCGATGTAAGTATTTACTTTGGGTAAAATCAGCCCACTGGTATATGGATTTTCCAAAATACTTTAAAAAATAAATATAAATGATGTACCCCTTCAAAGGTGAGTGAATTGTCTCAAAGCTGTTATTTTTTAAATGGCGTAAGGCATTCAGTGAGGCTCACAGGTGAAAAGTGGGTGTGTGGCTGGCGTGGAGCGTTCCCACTAGGCCTTCCTCTCTCCAGGACCCCCAGGCATGTCCTCTGACTCTTCACAGGTGCTCAGGGAGGCTCCGTGGCCCGGACGCTGCTGGAAGATGGGACATTCAGGGTTCGAGCGGTGACGCGGGACCCTAGGCAGAAGGCAGCAAAGGAGCTGAGGCTGCAGGGTGCAGAGGTGGTACAGGGAGACCAGGATGACGTGGCCAGCATGGAGCTGGCCCTGACTGGGGCCCATGCTGCCTTCATTGTGACCAACTACTGGGAAAACTGCAGCCAGGAGCAGGAGGTCAAGCAGGTGAGGGCAGGTGGGAGGATGTGGGGAGGCTGAGCAGCACATCTGACAAGGAGCTCCCTGGGAGGCAGCTCCAGCTTGCTAGAGAGGGGCTGACCCTACCTGTGACAACGGTCCGCTGCAGGCCTTGTCCCTCCTCTTCCATGCAGTCCTCCAGGACTTGAATGAGCGCGGGAAGCTGCTGCTTCCTTTTGCAGTGACTTTTGTTTAGATGTCACTGAGGCACCAGAGTTTGCCACTTCAAAGTGTATAATTCAGTGTTTATTCTCAAGGCCGTACAGCCATCACCACTACCTAATTCCAGAACATCTTATCACCTTGAAAAGAAACCCGTACCTATTAGCAGTGACTCCCAGTCCCCCCCGCCAAACCCTGCCCCCCAGCTCCAGGCAACTGATAATCTGCTTTGTCATCCATTAACTGTTCACACTTTCTAAAAACCAACTCTGTTGACCCATCATTTTCTGATAATAAGATGCACATATTTTCATTGTCCTATTGGATAAAATCAATATAAATATACTCACATATTATCAATCTAATCAGAACACATCTCCATCAGCCCAGAACGTCCCCGTGTCCCCTTTGAAGTATTGTACTGGTTTATTCTGTTTTCCACGCACATTCTCTCTAGTTAGTTGGTTATTAAGGCCAGGTGGCAGGGGGAGGGATAGGAGACAGAGGAGGTGAGACGTGGCCATCATTCTGTCCCACTGAAGGTGGGGACACCTGCACACAGCCTGTCACACACAGGTACTCATGGATCTGTGGAATGTAGTGGTAGAGGAGAGGCCCCAACTGTCAGCCCTCCATCGTCCACAACCAGCCACAGCCCTGCTTTGGACATGGACCTTCCCTGCCCTGGGCTTTGTTAGAAAAAAGGGCTTTTTTTTTTTTTTTTTTGAGATAAAGGAAGATTGAACTGGACCATTGGTCTCCAAACTTGTTTTTAGCCTTGACATTGTCTTTGAATACATCTTACATGGAAGCGCATCCCACAGAGTGGAGAGGACAGCTTTTCTGGTGGATGGCAATCTTGGCTCATTATCCCGAAAGCCTGTGTTCATGTCCCATGGTCGTCATTACAAACTGAGTGGCTTAAAACAACAGGAACTGACTCTCTCCAGTCTGGGGCCCAGAAGTCCACAATTAAGGAGACTTCAGAAGGAGTCTCTAGGGGCGCCTGGGTGGCTTAGTGGGTTAAAGCCTCTGCCTTCGGCTCAGGTCATGATCCCAGGGTCCTGGGATCAAGCCCTGTATTGGGCTCTCTGCTCTGTGGGGAGCCTGCTTCCTCCTCTCTCTCTCTGCCTGCCTCTCTGCCTACTTGTGATCTCTGTCTGTCAAATGAATAAATAAAATCTTAAAAAAAAAAAAAGAAATTAGAAATATATTAAGAAAAAAAAAAAAAGAAGGAGGCTCTTAGGACAATTCCACTCCTTCCCTCTTGCAGTGTCTGGTGGCTGCTGGCTCTCCTTGTGGCCACATCCCCCCAGCCTCTGCCTTCATGTGACCTTCTCCTCTCTGTGTCTCCTCTTCAGTCTCTTATAGGGACCCTTGTCTTCAGATTGAGGACCCACCTGGGATGATCTCAAGTTCCTTAGTTATATCTGCAGATCTCGTTTCCCAAATAAGGTCACAGTCACAGGTTCTGGGGGCTAGGATGTACACATATCTTTTTAGAGGCCATTCAAGCCCCGTGCATCCTTATCTGGCAGGCACTGTGGTCATCCCCGTGTAACTGCTGCCAGAAGGTTAGGTCCCTGGTCCAGGATCTCACAGCAAGTGTGTTGCAGAGCCGGTGTGACCCCCTAGCAATGTGTGTGCTTCCTCTCTGAGCTGTGCCACCTCCCTATTGGCCTGCTAGGGCCCTTCAAGGATGGCGGCTTTGCAGGCAGAGGTGGGAGGGCTCTGTGCGGCCCTCTCCCAGGCAGCAGACCTACTCCAACCTGTCACAGTGCACATGGGTGGGCCACCATTGAGCATGTTGGGAAGTACAACCCCCCGGGTGACCTAGAGAAGTGACGCTAAGATAGAAGGCTCACAGTGGCGTGTGAGAGGGCGCAGCACCATGTGTGAACATCATTCCAGAAGAGGGAGCCTTACCTAAGGGTGAAGTGGTGTCGGCCTCTTAGCATCAGGCACAGCGGCACCGGGGGTGGGAGAGCCAGGGCTCTGATTGGGGACACACATCCTCCCTCTTCAGCTTTGTGGTTTCTCCTTTCCTCCTCACCAGGGGAAGCTGCTGGCTGATCTGGCCAAGCGCCTGGGCCTTCACTACGTGGTCTACAGCGGCCTGGAGAACATCAAGAGGCTGACGGCCGGGAGACTGGCAGCAGGCCACTTTGATGGCAAGGGGGAGGTGGAGGAATATTTCCGGGACATCGGAGTTCCCATGACCAGCGTACGGCTGTCCTGCTATTTTGAGAATCTCCTCTCCTACTTCCTGCCCCAGAAAACCCCTGATGGAAAGAGCTACTTGCTGAGTGAGTGCTTTTCCTCTTTCCTCGAGCGTCTGCTCTCACCGAGGGGAGCCGTGGGTGTTGTAGAAAACGGGCTTGTCCTCAGACGGTTCTGGGTCCGAGCCTGGGTTCTCCCATGTTAGGCTCATGACTTTGAACAAAGCATGTAACTTCACTGAGCCTCTGCTTCCTGCTCTGTGAAATGGGCGTAATAGTGCGACTTTTGCAAGGGCGATGAGGAAATCTGCCAGGAGGCAGTGTGCGATGCTTCGTCTGTTACAGAGACGAGCACACCTGTTACTCCTCCTTCAGGAGTAAGGAGAGGATTTGGAAGATCAGGACCAGTAGTAGGTTTCACAAAGTAGGAAAGCACTTTCTTCTCAGTCTGTAAATGGGTTGCCTAGAGCCTTTGGCTGCTCGTGTCCTGTGGCTGGCCAGCATCCTCAGCCGGCCACCCCTCCCCCATGCGAGGACAGCAGGTTCAGGCGGTCTGGGCCCAGTGTTGGCTCGCTGGCATCGCCCTTTAGTCTGCCGAGCTGGCCAGGGATACCGCTCATGTTCCATCCCTGGCTGAGCTCAGTGCACGAGGTCTCTGGCTGACCTGAATGGACAGCTGCGGAGGCCCCTTCTCGTGGGTGAGGAATGTGGCAGGACCCACCAGACCACCTTGGCAGGTCAAGTCACCCACCAATTCCACCCATTTAGGGAGCACCTGCCATGTGCGGCTCTGGGCCAGGGCCTCGGCACTCCGGCATTCCTGTTAGTGTAGTCGGCTTTCCACGGCAGGAATTCCAGAGGCCACAGAGTGCACTGGGGCCGGCGGCTCGGGAGTAGCCCCTTCATTTCCTTCCCGTTCCTGTCTTGGCCCCAAGAGGGTGGGCAGGCCTGGCGTTCTCCCCGGTCTAGATGGAGCGACCAGGGCTCAGGGTGTAAATAGGGGCCACGGTGGCAGAGCTCGGATTGCATCCCGTTTCCTGACTGAACCCCACTGCTGCTGCTCGTACACCCCAGACACCAGGGCCGCTGACCTGTGCTGCATGTGTCCTGGCGGTGGGCTGGCGGGACACCTCTCCTCCTCCCTCCCCTCCTCTCCCAGGCTTGCCCATGGGTGATGTGCCCATGGATGGCATTTCTGTGACCGACCTGGGTCCTGTGGTGCTCAGCCTGCTGAAGAAGCCGGAAGAGTACGTCGGCCAGAACATTGGGCTCAGTACCTGCAAGCACACAGCCGCAGAATACGCCGCACTGCTCTCCAAGCACACCGGGAAGGCCGTGCGCGATGCCAAGGTGGGCTTCCGAGGCCCCGGGCCCAGGATGGGTGCCGTCCCAGCTCCCACCGGGGGCTCTGGCAGCCCCCTTCTGGTCATTCTGATCCCCCAGTGGGGGCTTTATGGGTGGTCGGGAAGCAGTATGTGGGGCTGCCCCATCACTGTAGGCAAATGATGACTTCATCGCTGTGAGCATTTGTCATGTGCCCAGCGTGGCTGCTGAGAGATATTTCCGGCTTAGGCAGTGGAACAAGTAGTGAGGAAGGTTTCCAGGAAGAGGGGATACTAGGGTCCAAGGCGAGGCGTGAACACACAGGGGTGCTGGGCTTCTCTGGGGCGTGACTTGAGGGAGGGAAGGGGTAGGAGACCAGAGAGATGGGCCCCAACCGTCTCCTGACCTGGCTGGGTGGGCAGGAGCCCTCTGGCCCCCTCTCTCCCCGCTGACCTTCAGTTTTCCTGTTCAGACCCTTGGGTGCCTTGTTTCTTATTTGGCCTTCCCATTATGGTAGTGAGACTGACACTAAAGCAAATCTGGGAAACTCCCAAGTCATTGAAAGACAAAAACCACCCAGGGAGCTGCAGATTCATGCAGAGCAATGATGGGGAGGCCATGGCAGGGTGTTTCTGGTGGGTCAGACCCCCTAGACTCAAATCCTGCTCTCAGCCCTTAACATCCACCAGTATGTGACCTTGGGGCACAGTCCCTGACCTCTCTGCCTCAGTATTCTCATCTATAAAATGGGTGTATGAATAGTATCTCCTTCCCTGGTTGTTGGGATTGAACAGAGTAATCAATGTAAGCGTAATCAGAGTAATTAATGTAAGCGTAATCAGAGTAATCAATGTAAGTGCTTCCTTAATGCCCTAAGTGGGCACGCATTACATTTAAACACAGAAGGGTCTGACGCAGCCGTGGAGGATTTCGGTTCAGTTTGGTCAGGAAGGGGTAACAGCTTTGGTTTTTGAGCAAGAAAGTCATGTTTGCAGAGATCTGGTTTGGAAAGGGCTGAGAAGTTTCCATCTCATGATCTCAAAAAAACTCAAAAGGATTTATGACTTTTTTTTTTTAAGTAATTTCTACACTCAACATGGGGCTTGAACTCATGACCCCAACATCAAGGGTCGCACACTCCTCTGACTGAACCTGCCAGGCAGCCCTTGAAAGAACAGGATTTGGGGCGCCTGGGTGGCTCAGCTGTTAGGTGTCTGCCTTCAGCTCGGGTCATGTTCCCAGGGTCCCTGGATCGAGCCCCGCATCAGCCCCTGCTTCTCTCTCTTCCACTCCCCCGTGCTTGTGTTCCCTCTGTGTGTCTCTATCAAATAAATAAGTAAAATTAAAAAAAAAAAAAAAAAAAAAGAACAGGATTTAAGTTGACTTAAAACTGTTTTTTGAACTTTAACCTTTTTAGTAGAAGAGTTTTCAGATGAACTTATTGGAAAGAACTTGGGTTGGGACTGGGTTGCCCACAGCTAGGGTGCCAGAGATGCTGACAGGCCCAACGGACTCCGCTCTGTTTCTAGGCGACCCCGGAGGACTATGAGAAGTATGGCTTCCCTGGTGCCCGGGACCTGGCCAACATGTTCCGTTTCTATGCTCTGAAACCTGACCGTGACATTGAACTGACCTTGAGGCTCAACCCCAAGGCCAGGACGCTGGACCAGTGGCTGGAGCAGCACAAAGGAGACTTTGCTGGGCTCTGACCCTGCCACCTCTCAGCTCCGTCTCAGGGGATGGGGAGGTGCAGTCACAGTGACCCGTTCTTGTGTTACATAAAAAATTATTTTTTGAATAAAGGCCATTGTTCTCACAGCTGGGTCCCAAAAGAAGAGAGCTTTGTTTCAGGGACCGGGGTTGGGGTGCAGCTGCCGGGGCATGAAAATTCCAACAGGAAGCATCAAGTGGCGGGGACTCAGCGCCCCTCCCATGTTGGGGCTGGAGGGTGGAAGACACAGGACATAAATGCAGTTGGAAGTTTCGTCCAGTGGGTGGGAGACGGCACTGTGACCACAGCCCAAAGAAGCGGCTCTGACCGCTGCTTGGACTATACTGGATGGTGCAGAGTCCAGGTACAGGGGTACTCCTCATGCCAGGCAGAAGTGCTACCTGGTGACAGCCCGGCAAACGCAGCCTTCATGTCCAGAGAGCTAGTGAGGCCAACTGCACATTTGCTCTTGGAACTCAAAGGCATCACCTTCTGGGATGGGATGTTTCCCCAGCTGTGGCAGCCCTGAGATCTGGATGATCTTCAGAACAGCAGGGCATAACATCTGGAGGCAGACTGGAGCAGAGGTCGCCACGATTGCACACCACTGACAACAGGTGACACACTGCTCAGAGCAAAGGCTGGAGGCAAAGCCAAGGAAGTGACCCCGAGGTCTCACTGGTGGTGTATGCACGGGCTTGCGATGGTGGGGCTGGTTCCACTTCTCCCGCTCACTTCAGAGAAGAGGAAGGTCAACGCCCAGAATACACAGGTCACGTACCCGAGGTCCCATGGCAGGCCTGCTTTTCCTCTACAGATTTGCATAACCTCCGTCCTACCCAACCCTCTGTACCTGCAGTCCTACCATATACATTCAATCCATTAACTGATTACTTGAGAAAGCACCTGGACAACCTAAATACAACATGAACCAGAAAGGTTATGTTCTCTGCCCTGAGGAGCTCAGGTTGGTGGGAGAGCCAGATACAAATATGCACAAATAGTTATAGACTGACACAGGGCTGCAGAGAAGAGGGGCAGAGATAATCATGGTGGGGGGGGAAACCCAAGAGCTAGATGCTTATATGAGTCCCCCACGTGCCCCCTGTTTTAGTCACATTTAAGTGTACAGTTCAGTGGATTATATTCAGTTGTGTGGCCCTCACCACCATCCATCTCCAGAACTTTCTCACCTTCCCAAATTCTGTTCCTATTAAACACTAACTTCCCATTCTCTTCCCCATCCCACCCCACCCCAGCCCCACATGAACCATTCTACTTTGCATCTATAAGCTTGACCCCTAAGTACCTTATATAAAGAACTGCTAACATTTTATTTTTTTTAAAGATTTTATTTATTTATTTGATGCAGAGAGAGATCACAAGTAGGCAGAGAGGCAGGCAGAGAGAGAGAGGGAAGCAGGCTCCCCGCCGAGCAGAGAGCCTGATGTGGGGCTTGATCCCAGGACCCCGGGATCATGACCCAAGCCGAAGGCAGAGGCTTTAACCCACTGAGCCACCCAGGCGCCCCAAGAGCTGCTAACATTTTAAAATGAGACAGCTTTCCTAGTGTTACTGGTAACAGCCTAAGGCTGAAAATAACCCAAATGCTTACCAAGGAATGATTGGAAAACAAATGTGGTCTACTCACAGAATGGAATTTACTTAGCCATAAAAAGGAGTACTGATTCATGCTACATGAATGAACCTTAACACATTATAGTAAGTGAAACCAGAAGGAACCAGAAGAGGTCACTATTGTATGATCCCGTTTACATGAAATGTGCCAAACAGGCAGATCATAGAGGCAGGAAGTAGATTCGTGCTTGCCAGGGTCTGGGGGACCTGGGGAAATGGGGAGTAACTGCTGCTGATGGACATGGGATTTCTCTTTGGGGTGATGAAATTTCTAAAATTGTGATAGTAGCACAACATTGAACTAAAATCCACTAAACTGTACACTTTCAATGGCTGAATTGTAGAGCACAGGTAATCCCCCAAAATGAAGTAACTAAAATCACCACGTTAAAGTCTGGATGCCCAGCTTCTCTCCCAAAGCCCCAAACGATCTGGAAGCACCGGTGTGAACTCCAGTGGCGCCCTCTTTGATAGAGCTGAAGAGGAGACGTCTCCTTCCGACAGCGCCGCCGGTCTCCACCATTCCCTGTGGTCTCCGGGCACGGGGAAAGCAGGTCGGGGCCCAGTCACTATAAGCTGCTGCCGGGCTCATCACGCCAAATGGACCTAACTTCCGGTGCAAAGATATGGGCCACCCGGCTGGCTCAGTCGGTAGTGGTGGGACTCTCGATCTTGGGGGTGTAAGCTCAGGCCCCACCATGGGTGCAGAGATTACTTAAGCATAAGATCTCTGGGGCGCCTGGGTGGCTCAGTCAGTTAAGTGTCTGCCTTCGGCTCAGGTTATGATCTCAGGGTGCTGGGATCGAGTCCCGCATCGGGCTCCCTGCTCAGCCAGGAGCCTGCTTCTCCCTCTGCCCAACCCCCACTCATACTGGATCACTCACACTCCCTCTCTCAAATAAATAAATATTTTAAAAATAAAAAATTAGGGGCGCCTGGGTGGCTCAGTGGGTTGGGCCGCTGCCTTCGGCTCAGGTCATGATCTTGGAGTCCTGGGATCGAGCCCCGCATCGGGCTCTCTGCTCGGCGGGGAGCCTGCTTCCTCCTCTCTCTCTCTGCCTGCCTCTCTGCCTGCTTGTGATCTCTCTGTCAAATAAATAAATAAAATCTTAAAAAAAAAAAAAAAATTAAAGGGCGCCTGGGTGGCTCAGTGGGTTAAGCCACTGCCTTCGGCTCAGGTTATGATCTCAGGGTGCTGGGATCGAGTCCCGCATCGGGCTCTCTGCTCAGCAGGGAGCCTGCTTCCCTCTCTCTCTCTCTCTCTCTGCCTACTTGTGATCTCTCTCTGTCAAATAAATAAATCTTTAAAAAAAAATTTTTTTTAAGTACTTTAAAAATAAATAAAAGATACAAAATACAGGTTCCCCAGTGCTAAAACACGCCTTCTGCAAGAGCTATAAGTGTCTACATAATTCAGTGACAGACCCCAGTGCACAGAAGGGCAGAATGAGGGCAGGGCAGTCTCTGGACACCTGGGTAACCAAGAAGCTTGTGGGACTGGACAGAACTGTCGTCTTTGTGGGGGGGGGGTTCATGAAAGAGAAGCAAGCATTCAATTCCACCCAACCCCCAGCAGAGGTGTGTAGCGGGTGGGAGCCAGGCTCCAGGGCCCAGGTCAGACTCAGCCACACATGACTGCACGCTTCCTCCCCACCTGCTTCTCCACTCCTCTCCTGTGCCCACCAGCGCTTCCCAACCTCTTCACCCAGCCCAGCAAGGGCTCCCATGGCTCCCAGGCTCAGCCCAGAACCCTGGGATGGGTCTGAGCTCTGTCTGTGCTCAGGGCCACTCTGGCTGTGCCAGGCACTGGGGCTTTTCTGAGCCTCAGCTGGGAGCCCCGACTAGCCAAACTACAATGAGCAAAAACTGTAATGCAAAAAATAAATTAAATCAATAAATAATCAGCGTTCCTCAGAAAATAACAGGGGGGAAATCTAGCGAGGGAGGCAGTGACATGCACATCTTCTCGCGGGCTCCCAAAGAAAAAGTTACACTGAATCTCACAACATTCACTCCAATCAGCACGCTGTCCCGTGGCGAGCTCCCTGCTCTGGGATCTGGGCTGGAGGGTCAGTGCTGGTCAGCGTGCAGCTGCTCCTGGGCTGGTGGGACTCCGTGGACGAGGCCGGCTAACTCTCCAGCCAGCCCCAGGATGGCCAGCGGTGACATGGGACAGCCCTGTCTGCAGATGGCATACCAGCAACCCCACAGCTAAGACCCCGGCAGAAAGTAGTCTGAACTCTGAAATTTCAAAGAACAAAGGACCACAATTTATGCTTTAAATATCTTTTGGCTGTAATCTTATTTACACTGACACAGAATCATTTTACATTCTTAGATCAGACAGTAATAGATACTTTATTTTAGTAAATCATGAAGGAAAACAAAACGGAAACTATTCAGAAGTTTTCTCCATTAGCCTGTCTTACCGCAGTAGGAGGATCTGGAAACACATGGAGCCTGAATATATATCCTACAAACCGAGGCTGGGGACAGTGTGTTTTGCTCTGGCTGGACGGTGAAACCTGCAATTGCTCAGGCTGTGCTTTCCTTTTCTGAACAAACATTTCCACAGAAGATGATGACTCTCCGCACTGAATAATTTACACATACTTCTGAAAACAGGTGTCAACAGTGTGAGTGGTGAGATCCAAGCCCCTGGCAGCCAGAGGGTCCAGGGCTCTGGGGTAACAGGCCCATTAGCCTGCAGCTGTGACCACCTTTGGTCCAGCAGAAGGGCAGGAGCCCCACTCAACGCCCGGCTTGGAACAACAAAACTCAACAGTTGGGGACGAAAGGCCACCCCACATGGGATGGAAGGAAGGACTCTCCGTCCTAATCAAGATCACAGCCCACATGGTCAGGAATGGCATGTCCAGGGATGCCCTTGGTATGCGCCTCCCCAGGCCGCAAAGTGCCCACATTCCAGCTGCTTGGGATCTTTGGGAATTAAAACTCACTCCAGGAAGAGAACAGGACGTCCCTGCTGAAGACTGGATGATGTACGTGGTGGGGCACGCAGGCCCCAGGTTCCTCAGAAAGACAACCTGGTAGAAAAGACTCATTCCACTAATCACTTCATGACTCGGTGCAGCTTAAGGCTTCATTTTTAAGCTGTAAGCATGGCCTTTAATTCTTTAACTAATATCTCCACATTTGATTCCAAATTAGAGTTTTAGCTCTGCAAAAAGTGTCCAGTTGTTTTATTCCGCCTGAGCCAGAAGAGGCCACGTCACCTACCCATGGACAGGAAAGTTCTAACATCCCTTATGTGTGCCACACCTTACTGCTCACAGGTTGTCCCCTGTGACCGTTCCATGGAGATGTGTGTTGTCACATGATTTTGCTGTTGCCAAGGCGGCCCAGGGCCTCTGCAGGCAGGGGCTCAGTGCTGTTGTTCTGGAATCCTTCCGGTGCCCTGGCCATGAGGAGGGGCAGCCGCTCCCGGCCTAGTTTCCAGTGGACCGTTTTCCTAAGCCAAGACACAAATGGTTACGTTTCACCAGCATCCCAGGAGGATGACACCCTGTGGGTGGGCTTCTGTCATCCTTGGGAGGGAGCTGCACCAGGAGTCCCAGCCACCAGGGACCAGAACAAGTAAAAAGCGAGTCCTGAGACATCACAGTGAGCAAGCGTGACTCCTGGCAGCCCCCTGAGGTTTACGTGGCCCTGAGCCTCCCAGGCAGGGTGGGCGCTGAGTCAGGAGGCTGGGGAGATCTGAGGTCTAGGCCTGGCTCTGCTGTGACTCACCCCCTGTGACCGTGGGTAGCCTGGTTCCCACTACTGTGGGACCCAGGCCCCCAGAAGCTGGTGGAAGGAGGGCTGTGAGGCAGCCCCCAGTACAACCTCTCCAGGAAGTGGACATGGCAGAGGCCGGCTGGGGTGGTCTGGTGCAGCCTGGCGCTGCTCGCTGAGGCTGCCTTCTAGCCCTGATGCCAGCATCTGCACAGACTGGGAGCCCTGGTTCTGATGAGCACCAGATACACCACACCTAGATTGGCACCTCTTCCAAGGCTGGGAGTAGGGGGCAGGGTATGACACTGGTTAAAGTGAGGGGAAACAGGGGTTAGTTCACAGGGAAACAAAGGGGAAGAAACCTCAGGGTTTTCCTACCTCGGCTGGGTATCAGTAGGTAAACATTTTCTTAAGTTTGGAAAGGAATCCCTCCTTGTCCTCCCCAGCCTCAGGCCTAGCCTTGCCTCCTGTGGAGCTATCCATGGTCCTGCCACCTGGGCACAAACAGCAGAAAGAACTGGGGTCAAGGGCGCCACTTCCAGGAGTCCCACCCCTGGCCCCGCCTACCCACACCTGACCACCCGGTGGCTAGGCACTCAAGAAGCCACCAACCATTGTCTTGAGAGGGGAGAGGACCACTGCCCTGGCCAGGGCAGCCTCGCCTGTCAGATGACTGAAGCAAACCGGCCACCGGGTGCTTCAGTGGATCCCAACTGCTCCTCAGTCACTGGCCCACAACAGGTAAACAAGACAGAGAGGGACAATGACCAGCTATCTTCATTGTAACAACTGTCACAACTGCCAAGTGCCACGCCTTCCAGGCCAGGACACACAGATTTCACAGGAGCTCATTTAATCCTTTACAAGAAAATTCCACAGATTAAAAAAAATTAAAAACACAAAACATGAATACACAGAGAGATTAGGCAGTTTGCTCAAAGTCACAGAGCTGGTAGGTGGGAGGGAGAACGGAGTTCAAACCCAAGCAGTCGGGTCCAGGACCCAGCCCTTAAAAACCTTGCCAGTGACCCTTGGAAGGTGAAGAACACGTGTCACTACCAACCAAGCAGTTTCCACGTTCCATACATGTGCATCTAATGTCTCCAGGACACTCAGGGAGGGGACTCGATGCCTCGTGGAATCCCACAACATGTGCAGTTCTTTTGACCTGTAATGATGGCAGTGGGGGACCCGGTATGTCACTGGACAAACTCCCTATCAAAAGCATCTAAGCCGGGGTGCCTGGGTGGCTCAGTGAGTTAAAGCCTCTGCCTTCGGCTCAGGTCACGGTCCCGGGATCTTGGGATTGAGCCCCGCATCGGGCTCTCTGCTCAGCGAGGAGCCTTCTTCTTCTCTCTCTCTGCCTACTTGTGATCTCTGTTGTCAAATAAATAAATAATTTTAAAAACCTTTAAAAAAATGAATGAATTAATTAATTAAAAAAATAAAAATAAAAGCATCTAAGCCAGATGCTCCAGACAAAGGGAAGCTGCTCTGCTGTTTTTCCAGAGTCCAGGCAGAGGCTACAGAGATCAAGGTTACTGCATAAGCTAGTCCTTTTCAAGATCTGCCAGCACAGTAGGCAGGTAGGGCATGAGTCTGCCATGAGCTAGATGATGCACCGGACAGCATTTTAAACTGTAGGGCACGTCATTGATATGCTAGGACGGATATGCTAAGTACACTGCGTGGCACAGGAAGAAATGGTCATGGTCCCCAAGGTCTCAGTCAGGTTACCAGGCTCCAAGCAGGGGTGGGTAGAGTCGTCCTAGGGTTCACCCCTCTGGGTAGTCCCATTCACCTGGCATGTTCCCAGAGTGCAGAAAGAGAGCAGTGGCCCCAAACAAGGATGTGCTAACCAAGGTCTGAGCGATCACCAAAGCCAAGGTGGCCAGGACTCCCAGAGCTCCCCGTGGAGGACCTGGGCACTGAACAATCACCACAGCAGAGGTGCCACTGCCACAGATGACCAGGCCATGTTTGCCTTCCCATAGTCCTTCACGTCCCCACTCTTATATAAAGGCAAAGACCCTCCTAACACAAAGCAACACACAACTCAGAAATTTCCCATCACTCCTGGGTCTCCTCAGACACAGGAGAGCAAGACTACTGAATTTCGTAGTGTTCTTGTTATGGGGACGACAAATCTTTGTGTGTGGGCACGTGTCGCTATGAGTTAGAGCTGGTAGAGCTTTTAATATGTGCCAAGTACCATGTTACACACTTTCCCTACTTGATCTCATTTGATCATATAAAGACCCCATGAAGTAGGTGTTATTATTGTTCCCAAAAGGGGAAGTGATTTGCCTAATCACTTTTTCCAATTTCCAGCCAATAACAGCAGACCAGGGCCATGCATCAGCGGACATCAGAACCCAAACTGTTAGCTACCAGTCATGACAGCGCACAGAAACACTTGAATTGCTGTCATCCTCTTCCCCCAACTCTGCTGTCGTCACCTGGAAGGCGGGGAGCAATTATGTCCCATGGCGACAGGCATTTGAGGCATGGTGGCCAAAGTCCCCAGAACAAGCACCTAGTGAACTGGTTAATGATTCACAATAAAAAAATAAATAAAATAGCAAAACACAGACACAAGCCCAGAAATTCTCACCCCCTACCACCAGGAATAGCGTCTCATCTTTTTTTTTTTTTTTAAGATTTTATTGATTTAATAGAGAGCGCGCACGCGCACAAGTGAGTGCACACAAGCAGGGGGAGCTAGAGGGAGAGGGAGAAGCAGATGCCCCATGCAGTAGGGAGCCTGACGTGGGGCTTATCCCAGGCTCCCAAGATCATGACTTGAGAGCAGACGTTTAACCGACCAGCCACCCAGATCCCTCATCTCTATTTTATTTTTTCATTTTTATTTATTTTTATTTATTTTTGAAGATTTTATTTATTTGTTTGACAGAGACACAGCAAGAGAGAGAACACAAGCAGGGGCAGTGGGAGAGGGAGAAGCAGGCTTCCTGCCGAGCAGGATCATCTCAGGACCCCAGGATCACAACCTGAGCTGAAGGCAGATGCCTAATGACTGAGCCACCCAGGCGCCCCTCTCATCTCTACTTTAAATTTGGATAAAAGGACTACAGTTTCCTTCAGGAACAAGGTTTACTGGCAGGGGCATCAAAGGATGTAAGCACCAAATTTAAAACTCTGAACCAAATGTCAGGAATAAACTATGCACATAGATGACCAAGTCTATAAACACAGGGCTTTTCTAGCCTGGGGCAGGAGGACGGACGTGTCCTTACAGGATATCCTGGACATTCAGGTGCCTGCTGATCTCAGGACAGGACACAAACAAGGGCACTTGGCTCCAAAGCTTCTGTAAACACAGCCAGTACGTGACTCCTGACATTAGAAGAGGAAATGCCCATGCTGGAATCCCACTCCAGCCAAAGGGGCATTACACAAGCACCTCTAGTTCATACCTTCAGAAGGGCTGCCCAGCCAGTCTAACAGAGGTCCAAGCCGAAGCCACAGGTCTCCTCTCTCCCCAGATCGGCTTATATTCCTATCCCTCAGAACATCTCCCAGCCAATGGTTAGGAAAAGTGAATTCAAATGAATTCAAATAAATGCAGCCAACATTTACTGAGTGGCCTTGTGCCAGGCGCTATGCAAGGTGCTGGGGGAGATAGAGAACATGCCAGCTTCCTACAGACAGGGATTCCAGGTCAGGACTGCTTGATGGCTATTTATAAGGTGAGGCCAGGGGAAGAGTAACACTTAATGTTCATCCCATGAATATGTGCCACACTTTTGGGCCAAAATTTTTTCTCCACGTGCACAAAGTCCTAGTGTTATGAGGAGGGTCTGGCACATATCTGGGGTTCAACACTTGCCACCTTCTCCCACCATCTGCAGCTGGCTGAAGGCAGGGACCCTGTCACCGCACATCATTTCTTAACACTCAACAAATGCTAAACGAATGTTAAGTCTGAAGAAACAGGACTCCAGGACCTGATTTCTAAGGACTGGGTCACCCTACAGGTGGACGTGCAGGTCTACAGTCACAGCCTGACTTCCTGAACGGTCTACACGCAAAGCCTGAGCCCACAAGAAGTCTTCTCATTCCATTAAAACGTCTTTCCTGGGGTGCCTGGGTGGCTCAGTGGGTTAAAGCCTCTGCCTTCAGCTCAGGTCGTGATCCCGGGGTCCTGGGATCGAGCCCCATGTCAGGCTCTCTGCTCAGCGGGGAGCCTGCTTCCTCCTCTCTCTCTCTGCCTGCCTCTCTGCCTACTTGTGATCTGTCTAATAAATAAATAAAATCTTTTTTTTTTAAGATCTTAAAAAAAAAAAACACACACACACAAAAAAAGGTCTTTCCTTCATCATCTTCCTGCCTCCAGCCTGTGTAAAGGTCAACACTGTCAACTATGTCATCAGAGAAGAGAAACAGCAGGTGGGATACGAGCTCTGAAATTGGTTTCTACACTTACAGTTAAACGTGTATATGGGTGTTGTCACCGAGAATTAACAATGACCCAGAAACACAAACAATGAGCCACGCTGTCTTTAACTCAGAAAGTCATCAGAGCGCCCCGATTCCCTGAGTCTTGTTGCTTAGCCCTGAGTCCTGAGAGTCCCTAAGCACACCACATCTTTCTGGACTTTCTGGTTCACAGACTGGGAAAGAAGTTAGGCTTGGCCATTAAGGCTTTCACCAGCTACATCAGGGACCAAAAATAAGCGAGAGAGACTAAATTCCCCCAAAACTTTAGGTCAGTTTCCTATGTAATTGTATCTATCCCAAATGCCTTCTGGGTGCCCCTTCCCTAACAAAAGCAAAGACACCCCGGAATCAGTCTGTATCTGTGATGATGCTCGGCAGTCTCCAAGGACACCCTACTCCAGGGTACTTGCAGGCCATTAAACAAGTGATTGGAGGGATGCCTAGGGGCCTCAGTCAGTTGAGCATCTGCCTCTGGCTCGGGTCATGACCTGGGCACCCTGGGATCGAGTCCCATATTGCACTCCCTGATCAGGAGGGAGCCTGTTTCTCCCTCTCCCTCTGCCTGCTGCTCCCTCTGCTTTTGCTCTATCAGATAAGCAAATTAAATCTTAAAAACAAAAAAAAGGTGATCTGAGTACACCTTATCTCATGAAACAATGATATCGGAACACAACTGCTTCTAGTACAGCTCAGTTACGTTTTGTTAAAGCTTGAAGTAAGAGATTCAGACTCTACTTAAATAAATGTGACCCACTGCTAGTGAAGTTGTCAGGAAATGGGAATTGTATGTAGTGTCATATTTTCACAAGAAGACTACACAAGTAACACTCTTCACAGTATAGTAAAGTTGAACCACATCCGGGCAGCAGACTGACAACGTGCTCTTTGAAGTTAATTCCAAGACTCTTAAATGCTATTTAAAAAGTTATGTCAACAAAATCTTAAAAAAAAAAAAAAAAAAAACAACTTTAAAAAAAAGGGGGGGGGGGGGCGCCTGGGTGCCTCAGTGGGTTAAAGCCTCTGCCTTCGGCTCGGGTCGTGATCCCAGGGCCCTGAGATCAAGCCCCACATCCAGCTCTTTGCTCAGCAGGGAGCCTGCTTCTTCCACTCCCTCTCTCTGCCTACTTGTGATATGTCTGTTAAATAAATAAATAAAATCTTTTAAAAAATAAATAAATAAAAAGTTATGTCTGGGGGCACCTGGTTTGGTTTAGTCAGTAAGCATCTGCCTTCAGCTCAGGTCATGATCTCAGGGTCCCGGGGTCAAGCCCTGCATTAGGCTCTCTACTCAGCAGGAAACCTGCTTCTCCCTCTGCCTCTGCTGCTCCCCCTGCTTGTGTTCCTTCTCTCTCTCTCACACACACTTTCCCTCTCTCTGTCACAAATTAATAAAATCTTTTTTAAAAAATTAAAAAAAAGAGGGGCGCCTGGGTGGCTCAGTGGGTTAAAGCCTCTGCCTTCGGCTTAGGTCATGATCTCAGCTTCTTGGGATCGAGTCCCACATCGGGCTCTCTGCTCAGCAGGGAGCCTGCTTTCCTCTCTCTCTGCCTACTTGTGATTTCTGTCAGTCAAATAAATAAATAAAATCTTTTAAAAAAATTAAATAAAATGAAATTTTAAAAAGATAAAAATAGGGGCACCTGGGTGGCTCAGTGGGTTAAGCCTCCGCCTTAGGCTCAGGTCATGATCTCAGGGTCCTGAGATAGAGCCCCACATCAAGCCCCATATCGGGCTCTCTGCTCAATGGTGAGCCTGCTTCCCCCTCTCTCTCTGCCTGCCTCTCTGCCTACTTGTGATCTCTCTCTCTCTCTGTCAAATAGATAAATAAAATCTTAAAAAAATAATAAATAAATAAAATTTTAGAAAAATTAAAGAAAAATCGTGTCTGGGAGCCAAACTTCCCAGTGGAATACAACTCTGAAATGACAGTGAAAGTGAGTGGGAAAGGAAAAATAATTTGGCACACCTACTTCACTTTATAAACAACTGCCAGAAAGTCATTCAATGCATATATTAAAGTTAAGTTATGCTCAGTAAAATTATGTCAATAAAAATTTAAAAGGAGGAACTAGCAAAGTGTCTGGCACACATGAGGTTCCCGATAAAGCCTGGCTGGACAAGGGGAAAGGGAACTTGCTCTCCAGACAAGGATCAACCATGAAAATCACGAGGCTCAGAAGCACACACTCGTAAGTAAGCTGACCGTATGACCAACTCTCAATTTAAACCACCAGGTTTAAAAAAAAGGAACTTTTTATAAAAACACTGACATTCTAATACAGTGAACAAGGCCCACATCACCACGTGGGCTCACTCAGGCAGATGTCAAGCTCCCCGTAGGTGGGGAGAGGAGGAAAGCTAGGGTGTCTGCAGAGCAAGACTCCCATGCTAGGTGACTGGGACGGCTTGAGGAGCACAACCAGCATTACACGGAAGAGATACTCTCCCTTCTCTTTACTTCAAGGGATGTAACAAGAATATAAAAGTCCAGGCACCAAACCCTTCGATCTGGTCAGGCTACAGAGAGGATTTGTGGTGGCAGCTTCTGCGCAGAGGACTCGGTCCCCTGGACTCCACGCACAGCTCAACAAAGTCCATGCAGAGCCATTGCCGCTGGGACGGCCACCCCTGGGCTCCCAGGCCAAGTCCTTCAGCTCACCGGGAACTCCCATTACCTGCTCCGGGGGACCATTCAGGCTCTAAGGACATGGGTAGGGGCGTCCAGGACCCAGACGAAAACACAACGAGGCAACGAGGAGGAAGCATGCGTGGCTGAAGCCAGAGCACCCACACGGCCTGTCCCCATCCGAGCAAGCACCCCATCAGCAGAGCCCCAGCCTTCCTCCGCAGCGCACCCCCACCTCCCACGGGAAGAGGTGCCACGGCCACAGTGTCCATCACCAGAGCTCCCGTCTGCCAGCATTTCGGTGTCAGATCACTCATGTATACATACACCGCACAGACAGCAGGACACTGGAGCTCCGGGTACGTGAGGCATCTGCTCGTGGCCACACGAGTTCAGAGTCAGAGCCACTGTGCTCACGCAGACCTGCAGCCACGTGACCGGCTTTTTTACTGAGGTCTCAGTGAGCCGTTTGGGACCCATCTTCTCCTTCAGCTGCTACAAGGAGTGTCACGTAGGGCTGTGCCCAAGTCACAAGGCAAGTGGCAGAACCACGGATAGAACTCAGAAAAGCAGCTCTCGGAGATGCACAGCTGCTCTCTGGCAGGAGGCGTGCTGACCTCCTGACCTCAGCGCACACAGGCCACGTTAGGGCGGCCCTATTGGGAGCACGGCTGGCACTCGGCTCTTCCTAGCTCGCAGGTACCCTCTTTCTACCGTGCTTCTGCAAGGAAAACCCCAACATGCTTCTGATCCGTGCATCCTCCAACGACTGAGAGGACTTCCACACGTTGCCATGCCGCCTTACCTGTGCTGGTGTTGGTGACACCGTTCACTGTCCCCTCCACGTCGGTCTCGTCCTCGGCGTAGCTCAGGATCAGGCTGTGCTGCCGGCTTGTCAGTCTCCTGTGGACCAGACACAGTGGAGTGTTTCCCCCGGGCAGCCCTTTAAATGACGGTCTGGGCCAGTTCCCATGTCGGCATGTGGGGAACGTGGGGCCCCCAACCTAGGCAGGGACACACACCCTGAACCTGAGAGCCACACCCTCACGGATTTAATCAAGAAAATGGAAACTACCACGCTCACCATGGCGAGCACCCCATCAGCTACTGAACTATCCAATTGCTGTCGTACACCTGAAAACTAACATAATGTTAAGGAAGAAAATCTCCTAAAATACCCTAAGCCGTTTTTAAACAGCAGACAATACCAAATAGTTAACTTAAAAGGGGCGGGGTGGGGGGGAGGGTCTTACAATCTTCTCATGTAGGAAGTTAACTAACTAAAAGGAGTCCTGGAGAGCCGGTCTTCCCCAGAGAGGTGGGACGCCACAGCACTGTGCCCGGCCCTCCTCCCAGAGGACACAGATGTCAGCACCATGATCCAGTTACAGATCTGCCTCTCCCAGCAGACCCCCAGTACCCTGAGAGCAGTAATAATAAAATCAACAGCAGCTACAGCCACGTCTGCCCGATGTATACTCAATTTTCCAGCAGCTAAGAAGGTCAACTTTTTTTTTTTATTATGCCCACTTTGCTAGGGGGGAACCCAGGGCCGGACACACCTGACTAGAGGGAGGAAGAAGCCCCAGCCTGAAGCCTCAGTGCTCACAGCAACAGACAGCAGGCCCAGGCCGGGGCTCAGCACAGGGCCCGGCCGGGAAAAAGCCCTCAACCCGCCCCTCCTGGGTGGGAAAGGTGGGGAGATTGGGAGGACCTCACCATGGCTATGTGGGCACGCACTTGGGAACTCTTATCTTGATGTGAATGTAGTGATCTCCATAGCCGTAGCTGTTAATCCGGGGAATGCCCTTCCCACTCATCCGAATCTTCTGGTCTGTCTGAATCCCAGGGGGGATCTACAAAGAAAGGAAAGCCGTGATTTGCCTTGGTCTCCAGTTGCTCCAATGGAAATCTTTCACGCCACAAAGACTTACTCCTAGGAAAGAACTGCCATTCCGGTTCCTAGACAACCACATGGAAACTGGCTACTGGGGTCCGTCCAGAGCAGAGTTTGTGATGGGGGCTTGCCGGCAGGCGAGGCCACCAGGAGGAGTGAGGGAGCACAGAGAGTAAGAGCGGGGAGGAGGCAAAGCCAAGAGAGGGGTACAGTGCTGAGGCTGGTGCCTGATGCTCACAGAGGAGCGGATGCAAGCCAGGAACTGCCTTCCGTGGCTATTCCACAGTCAAGGCCCATGGTCTATGATTCGAACCCAAGCAATGGCCTGACCTTCCTGCTGCCTCCCCCAGACCTCATCTCTGAGTCCCCAACATGCTGCTTGCTCACAGGTGCTGCCACTTCTCAGCCATTTCAGAAAACAAGAGACCAATGAAGTACAAGACTGGCAAAGACATCCCCGCCCTCTTACCGTCACAGTAATCGTCTCGTACAGGCCCTGAGCTCTGGCTGTCCCTCCAAGAAGAGCCTGAGCTATGGAAATGAAGAGGTCGGAGTGGATGTCTGCACCATCCCTCCGGAACACAGGGCTTTTCTGCACCTAGGGCCAAACATGGGAGATGCGGTCATACTTGGAGAACTCCCCCGTGGAGACGGGACGACAGCCCCACGTCCCAGCAGCCTGGGCACAGGCCCTGACATGCGCTCGGTGACGCTGCTTCTCTGTGAGGAACAGAGGACCGAGGACGGAATGTACTTCCGCCAGAGCACAGCGTGACCCCAGGCTCCGGGAGTTACATCAGATTTGTTTCTGTGCTGCAACGCAAGAGTGTCAGTTTCAGATCAAGCCATGCAGTCGACCAATAAAAAAGTAAAATTGGCTTTTTGAACATTAACAAAAAATATCTTACTCTCCTAGAAAGTTTAAAGAAAGAAAGACTAGTACACCTACAAAAGCCAAGCAGTTTATCTTTCAAACAGTTATTTGGTACAAACTATCCTCAAGACAGACGGGCAGCACTGGAATGACTCTGACTTTATAAGCACTTTTGGGCGTCAAAGACGCTCCTTGCCTTGCAACCAGGTCTCCTCTCTGTGCTCGTCTCTTACCACAGGGGAGCGGAGTCTGGAGCCCCGATGGAGCCCGTCGTAGAGCTTGGCTTCCAGGAGGCCACCTTTGTGGATCTCCTGGTCTAGCAGTTCACCCTTTACGGTATTTTTCCTCTTTGCTTTAAATTATGAAATATTTCACACACATATGGACAGACTAAAGTAAATACCATCATACACGGTTGCCCACAACCCGGCAGCGCTAACAAGCCCCCAGCCCCTCCCCCCTCCAGAGTGACCACCAAAATGAAGGCAGCAGCGACTGTTCCTACATACGTACACGTGTCCCCAAATAACACACAGCACCATCTCACATGTAAACTATTTACCGTCTCCCTCCCTGCCTCTGCTGGGAATCCACTTTCTTTCCCTCACTGGTAACTGAGAAGTCTCAAGACGTGTCGTGCTGACACGTGAGGCTCTGGTTTCTTCTTCTGGCTGCTTGGAGGCACGCTGGCCCCCGTGTGGTGCACTCGGCCACTCTCCTCTCCGAGGGCAGCAGGCTGTTGTCAGAGTCTTGCTGTGAGGAGGAAGGAGTCTCGCACGCAGCTTGCGCAGCCTCCCTCAGTCGTGCACCTGGTAGGGCTGCAGAGACAGGGCGCTATCCCCCTCACCATCCCCTCGTTCCAGAAACCTGGGTCTGCCCCTGCACCCGGTATGTAGAGCTGTGCCTCTGGCACTTGCTATCCCCACACACAATTTAATACATAAGTAAAAACACGAGAAGACGTGTTCTGTATTTTTATGTGTCCTATGTTTCCAACTGAATCTTGAGGAAACTTTGTTCTGTCCAAACCTAGCACAAAGTTTTGACATGATGCATGTTTAACCACGCCACTGAGATGGCCACTGCTGCCCTCAGAAATGGAGATGGCCAGACACGGTCCCAGGAAGCACCAGCCTCTCCCCAGCCGGGCTAGGCCGCACCCACGCCCAGCGGGAGAGGGCCAGGGAGAAGCTGTGCGGGCAGAGCACCTACCCTGAATGTGACGAAAATTTCCCGTTTTCCTACAGGCATCCGCACGGTCTGGCCATCCTCGACTCCTATAAGGAAGAACAGAAGCTCAAAAGGGAAGAGTTATCTTGGGACCTCCCAAGGAATTTTCTGCCCTAGATCCATTTACAAGCCCCTGACTTCCTCACCCATGCCTGCTACTGAGGAGCTACACAATTACCCACAGCACATCCAACGACTCTCACAGGTGCAAATATAGCAACTGATGAGCAAACAAGAGCTCACGGACCCCGGCTCCTACCCATCTGTGGGAACCCAGTGAGTACAGAGTCTAATAGGGGACACAGCTATCGACCAAACAGTAACGCTAACGAACGCATCATTACAAAGAGGTCACGTTCTTAGAAGGAAAAGACAAAGGACATCTAAAGAACAGGGAGAGCTCCAGAAGGCTGCCCCCGGGGAAGCAACATTCAGGCTAGGAGCTCTGGGAGGAGAGTCAGCCTGCTGAAAAGAAGGTGGAAAGTGAACTTCGGACACAGGGAGAGGTACACGCCAAGGCTCTGTCCTGGAAGGCATCACAGCCTGTTGCCGGAGCTACGTGAAAGGGGCAGTTTATCGGCTCAGTTGTTAAGTATCTGCCTTCAGCTCGGGTCATGATCCCAGGATCCTGGGATCGTAAAGTCAGGAAGGCCGCAGGGCAGGCAGCCAGGGAAGACTAACAGGACACGGGGCTGCAGAGGCCGGCAGGGGCTGAGAATGGAGACATTCCCCACCCCAACAGTCACAGCGTGCTCTGCAGGGCGAGTAATATGATCACCCCGCCATGGGGAAAGCCTGCCCCGGGAGAAAGAGCCAGGTGGGGAGAGCAGTCACAGGCTGCCACTGGAGGCCGGAGGGAGGAGTGGTGGTGCAGACCGGGCTGGCAGCAGGGACAAGGCTGGCCTCATCGACTGAAGGTGGAGGAGCCCCACACAGGAGCGGAGCAGGCGTGTCCAGTCCCTTCTGCCCAGTGTGGCCTGCAAGTGGAGCCTGTAAACCTGACTCGTGCAAAGACGAAAACTCAAGGAGATTCTAGTCCCCCTTCCAGTACGGAGCCCTAGGCCCTTAACCACAGCTTCAACAGCCCATCACAAGGAAACAAAGGCCTCAACTCTCCCAGCCCCCAGTGCGTAGGGGACCCCAGGACCAACCGGCAGGCACGGGGATCACCACTTTCTTCTTCTGCTTGGCTTGTCCTGCTCCTCTGCACACCACGCAGGGAGTCGTGATGATGGAGCCTCGGCCCCCACATCTCCGACACGTGGAGCGCATCACAAAAGGGCCTGTATTTATGGTTTCCTGATAAAGAGAAGAAAACGGAACCCTTAAGCACACAGGTTAACTCTAACAGCCAAGCCTCTGGGGATACAACGTACACCAGAGAAAGGTCTCACACTGAAGACTCGTGTTCTCTGTGAACACACTAAAACATGCCACCCATGAGTACAGGGGCAGGGGCTCACACTGTCAATCTGATCTTCTGGAACATGCTGACTTCTCAACACCAAATCACCAAGCTGATTATTTGGGCCTGGAAAATGAGACAGTGCCTCTCTGTAGAGGTTCCTGAAACCCCAGGGAGCTGAGCAAACACATCTTAAAAAGAGTGCGGCCCCTGGGCACCTGAGTGGCTCAGTGGGTTAACCGTCTGCCTTCGGCTCAGGTCATGATCCCAGGGTCCCTGCTCCCCCAGGAAGTCTGCTTCTCCCTCCCCCTGCTCTTGCGCGCTCTTTCTCCCTCTCAAATAAATAAAAATCTTAAAAAAAAACCTTATATTTCAAAACACAGAAGAAACCCTCTACATATATACCCTTCTGTTCTGATGCTTTTTTGTTGTTGTTCTTTTGTTGTTGTTCTGAGGCTTCTAATCTGTAAGACAGATCCCCAAGGGTAGAATTGCTGGGACAAATAATTATTATATTTAAATTTTTTTAATTTAAAATCTATTGTATTTAAAAGTTTATGTGTTAGAGACTCTGGACTCCAGGAAACAAGGGTACAGAAGGGAGGGGGGTGGGGGAGATGGGGTAGCCCAGGGATGGGTATTAAGGAGGGCACGTGATGTGATGAGCATTGGCTGTTACACGCAACTAACGAACCGCTGAACACCACATCAAAAAAGTGACGTATTGCATGTTGGTTAACTGAACATGATGAAAGAAACTGTGTTATATTTACTCGCACACAGTACCAAATTCTAAAGTAAGAAACGGAGGAGCAGTGAACAGTCAAGTGTCCCCCCACCCTGTCCCCTAGGTGTTCCAGGCGCCTCCTCAGAGGCTCAGCCACGGTGACATGCTTGTGCGGCCTACTTTATCCGGACACGTGCATTTCGAGCCATCTGTGTGAGCACCACGGGTCTGCAGTCCCCGCAAGGCAGTACTATGCACACCGCACTGTAGAGTTTGCTTCCGTTTTTACAATTCAATGATCTCAGAAGGCATTTCGGAGCAGCACACAGCATCCCGTGACCGGGATGCACCATGATATCTCAGGCCACTCGCTCTGGTGGGTCACTGAGGCTTCAGTACTATACACAAGGCTGCAGGGGACACCTTGCACACACGCTGCACCCCGAGTGTGGTGTGTAGGCCAGCTCCCCACAGGGATGCATGCACGAGGGTCTGACGGCTCCTGCAGAGGCCACTCCCACAAGCCAGAGAGCCATCAGGGTGTGTGCAAGCTCAGGTCCCACAGGCCTGCTGGCACGGACTGGACCCATCTTTGAAACGCCTGCCCTCTGGGGGGTGAGCCAAGAGCATCTTCCGGTTTCTACCTGCAGGTCCCCGACTGTCGTGGAGAGACGGTCACCGGCCACCCACCCGCCATCTCCTCTACAGTTCACCTTACGCAGTTTTCCTGATGAGCTGCTGGTCTTTCCCCCGTTATTGTGAAGGAGCGCTTTACATATTAGGAACCCTAATCCCTTAGCACACGTGTCACAGATATTTTTTCCTAGTCTCAAGCATCATGTTTTTAGAGAAATACACTGTGGCTTTATTATCTTATCTCTATCTCCTCAGAAAAAAAAATTTTTTTTTAAATAAGTGACAGCAGTTCAGAGCATTGGAGAAAGGACCTTCAAAGTGAGAGACCATCGGGAACAATCAATGGAAACTATCTGTAACAAGTGGCAGCAGCTCAGCGTAGCCCCAGGAATGTATATGCTCCCCGAGAGCGCCCTCTGGAGGACTCTCCACGTGATTGCACACCAAGCTGTAAGCCCGGCCCTTTTCTCAGCAGGAGGATTTGCAGACAAAACTTTGCGTACCCCATCATTGGACTCTTAACTGGCCATCAAAAATAATGTTCAGAAATACTCAAAGACATGGAAAAATACTTGCGGCACATGAAAAGTGAGGAAAAACCACGTATGAGCCTCAACTGTTGAAATTACATACATACAAGAAAAATCATTCAAAACGATATGACAAAATAGAAAATACATGATTCAGATCAGTGACGAATGACTAATCGACTTCATTTATGAAGAGCTTCTACAAATGCCTCAGAATAAGACCAATTACCCAACAGTGAGAAGGCAAAAAGGCTGAAGGGCCATAAAGGAAAACTGAACCTCAAATCCTCAGGATGTTCAACCTCACATATGACAGATGCAAGCTGAGCATGAGCAATGGTGTTAGGTGACAGTACTTGGTGTGCATAGCAGCACAAGACCAATGGGGGCCTGGCGAGGTAAGAGATGGCACATCTGTGAAGGAGCCGCTGTGGTCACGCAGCCTGGGGCAGCTGTGTACACAGAGCATTGGCCAAATATACCAAGAAGCAGAAACAGAATAAATACTGAGATAGAAACAGAGCTAACTGTATTACACGGTTCGTAAAGGAAACCATGCACACGCATGCACACATCCAGGAGGACAGGGGATGCTTCTGGGGAGTGGAAACACAATGGCTGATAGCAGAGAATGGGAGAGACACTAATTTTGCACTATTTACCAACTGTACCCACTAACTTTTCTTTTTTTTAAAGATTTTATTTATTTATTTGACAGAGAGAGATCACAAGCAGGCAGAGAGGCAGGCAGAGAGAGAGGAGGAAGCAGGCTCCCTGCTGAGCAGAGAGCCTAATGCAGGGCTCAATCCCAGGACCTCAAGATCATGACCCAAGCCGAAGGCAGAAACTTTAATCCACTGAGCCACCCAGGCGTCCCTGTATCCACTAACTTTTAAATAATCTGCATATATTACCTATTCACAAACATATAAAACAAAAATGAAGTTCCTTTTCTTTTAAGATTTATTTTAAATAAATTTTATTAAAGACTTTTTTTATCTGAGAGACAGCAAGAGCAAGCGAGAGAGCATGAGCGGTGGGGAGAGGCAGAGGGAGAAGCAGGCTCTCCACTGAGCAGGGAGCCCGATGCGGGGCTCAATCCCAGGACCCTGGGATCATGACCTGAGCCAAAGGCAGACACTTAACTGACTGAACCAACCAGGGGCCCCTAAGATATATCTATGTTAGGGAGAGAGGGAGTGCGTGCGCATGCATGCGCAAGTCAGGGAGGGGCAGAGGGAGAGAATCTCAAGCAGACTGCCCCCCCATCCCTGAGCATGGGGCCCAATGTGGGGCTCAATCGCAGGGCCCTGAGCCTATGGTCTGCCCCAAAATCAACATTCAGATGCCCAACTAAGCCACCCAGGTGCCCCCCAAAATGACGCTCCTAATCAACGACTGCACAAACACACACTTAAAATGTTAGAGTGACGAGATTATCAGGGACTTCTACTTCTAAGAACTTTTCTGCCCTCAAAGGCAACTTCTACGTCACACCAGCAGACACACACAATGACTGATTTTAAAGGATGGTGGAAGACAACTTCTCAATCCCCTCCAGCAGGAATCCAGCTTAATGGAATACAAACATGATCGATGAAAACCGAAGTACAGTTAAATACACGAGATATAATCATGGCGAAGGAGGAGAAAAGAACTGACCCAAATAACTTTTGAGCACAGTATTTTAACTATACGCATTCAATCAAAAGATGAAAAGAACTCTAAACGGCAAATACCAATAACTAGGACGATTTTGCACAGTGGTCTGAGTAGTAATTCTAAACTCCTTTCTCTGTTATAGGGTTGAGCAAATGAGTAAGTATATTGAGGATAATCAAAGCCAGATTTTTCTTTATCAGAAAAAAATTTCAAGTACGGACAGGCAGAAGACTAGATGAACCCTGTGGTATTGGACCGGACGTGGAATTACCAGGTTGAATTCACTGGTTTGTCAGAGCGATGGTGGGTGGAGGGATAGGTGTGTACCTGTGTGTGTACAGTTCTACCTATAATGCAAATATAATATGGAAGGAGGTACAGATAGGAGTATAGCACACACGCACACACACGCACGCACGCGCACACACACACACACACACACACGTTTAGCCTGGCCTTGTCTGCGGGAGGGTGGAGAAGCAGTGAACCCCCAGACACATGTGCACACCTAGAGCACAAATCTTGGCTTCTAAATCCCAGGAGACACTAGAAGCAACCAGGACTCCCTGGAGAAATGACTGCTCAAGGGTGTGGCAGGAAAAGCACAAGGTGAGTCTAGACTATCTGTTGTATGAAGTGCTCAAAGAATGAGGAGGGACATGTCCCAGCTAGAAGGGACTCCACAGGCCAAGTCAAGAACAATTTGAATATCGAAGGCAGGAATTAAACCGATTACAGCCCAGTGAATAAGAATACCTGAGTTTATACTACTATAAACGAATGATAAATACATAAATGGAGAATAGAAAGTTCTTCCTTTCAGGAGAATGCCAACTAAGAAACACAGAGGGATGCTGGGATCAGAAAATCACCATCTTGCGACCGTTCCAGTAATAATGAATTGGCAAGAATGATCAATGGATGCCACAACTACCGGGTCAAAGTCTGATCAGGAACCGGACATTTACAGAGTGTTAGGGTGCCCCACCACGGCTTCCTCATTAACTTCAAAGGGAAAATTAGTAACTTTATAGTGAAGAAACCTAGTGGACACTACCTTAACTACCAGTGATCAAATGTCACATTACCACTAAGAGGACAAATGGACACCTTATGACTCCTGACACGGCCCACTGGAAAGGGATGTGGTGTTTCATCAAAAACATGTTATCTGGGGAGGCACCTGGGTGGCTCAGTGGGTTAAAGCCTCTGCCTTCGGCTCAGGTCATGATCTCAGGGTCCTGGGATCGAGCCCCGCATCGGGCTCTCTCCTTGGTGGGGAGCCTGCTTCCTCCTCTCTCTCTGCCTGCCTCTCTGCCTACTTGTGATCTCTGTCTGTCAAATAAATAAATAAAATCTTAAAAAAAAAAAAAAAAGAAAAGAAAATACACACCACAGATGACAAAGCAAATGGGAGAGAAGGCTGACAATTGGTTCCGGGTAAGGAATAATGGAGTGACTCTCTATACGGTTCTCTAAGTTTATATTATTAAAAAAAATGTATCAGAGCATCTGGGTGGCTCAGCCATTAAGCATCTGCCTTTGGCTCGGTCATGATCCCGAGGTCCTGGAATGGAGCCCGCATCGGGCCCCTTGCTCAGAGAGGGAGCCTGCTTCTCCCTCTCTTTCTGCCTGCTGCCCCTGCTTGATGTGCTCTCTCTCTCTCAAATAAATAAAATCTTTAAAAAAAAGAGGATAAAATGATGATGCTACAAACAAAATTTAAACCTCCCTCCCTATACCATGGTTTCAAATTACCAAAACATCCCCAAATGTATTTTCAGAGAAGACAGCCCACTGAACAAGCCAGAGCACTCAGGGGAAAAGAAGAAGGTTACAGATCAAACAGTCCCACCAAGTTAGGGACTCTCAGATCACTAAGTACTGCCGGAAAACTGTCCCTGGGATGGCGGGATGACGAGGAAGAGAGTGGGTGGGACAGAGGCAGGAGGCCCCTAGGAAGGAGCAGGATGGGGCCTGGATGGGCTCTTACCATGCCGGAGCCCCCGCAGTAATGGCAGCTCTGCATCTTGGTGCCAGGCTCATTCCCCTTGCCGTCACACCGCTCACAGGTGTCAGTGATGTTCACGGTGAACTCCTTGTTGACCCCCTTGGCCGCCTGATTGAACGTCAACTCCATGATGTACTAAAGAAATCAGAGGACAACCTGACATCTTTCTTCTGATAATCACCAGCATGACCCTCCACTTGAAAAATAAAGGAGGGCAACGGTCAGCAGTTTCCAGTTCCTTTAATTTTTCTTTTAAAGCAGCTTCACGTTTACAGAACTGAGAAGGAGGTACAGGGGTCCCACACACACCCCCACCCGGCCCCACACATGCACAGCCTCTCCCATTTTCAGGATCATTCACCAGAATATACATTTTTTTAAAATCAAGAATGAACCTATACAAACACATCTTAATCATCCGAGGCCCAGAGTTTACATTAAGGTCCACCGTTGGTGGTGCGTCTCCCATAGGTCTGAACAGACATCTGCTGCTATGAAACCAGAGCACCTGCACTGAACGTGAAATTCCACTAAACCCCTCTGTGCACCCCTGCTCACATCTTCACCCAGCTACTCTACCTTTTAACTATTCTACTCACCTACACTCGGCCTAGTAAGAATGGATGGGACTCAAGTGATTCTGCCCTACTCCTCAGGGTTTTTAAAAGGGAATATTTGTTTTAAGTGAAAATGTACTTTTCAACAAACTGTTCACATGTAATATTTGGACACAGTGCTTACAGACAACTGGAAAGATCCACAATCATAACCTAAGTCATAAAACATCCCCCCTCTCTCTTCAACTCTGATCATGTCTTATTAGGACATAAATATGCCATGGGTCTCCCTACTGGACTGAGCTCTACTAGAATAACGTAGCAGGCCTTCGAGATAAAACACTTACACCCTAGGCATGGACACCGAGAGCCTCAGCCTTAGGCTGCCCGATTAAGCAGCTCTAAGAATATAGTTAAAATGGATGCACACATATTACCTACGGGATTTTACTTAAACAGGAGAATGATTTCCTATGAAAACGGCAGCCTCCAGATCATTCTGTGGAAGCTGCTATGCCATTTATTTATTAATTTAGAGAAAATGCAACTGATCAAATCTGTTTGCCTCACGCCGAGCAGCTAAAATGTGAAGGAGTGATTCTTCAAGACGAGGAGCTTACCTCCTGAGGCTGAGTGAAGACACTCTGGAAATCTCCAAAAGATGATGATGAGAATTCGCCAAAGATCTTCCTGAAGAGCTCCTCTGGGTCGACAGTGGGGCCTCCCTTCCAGTAGCTCTGTCCGGAGCTGCCGGCCCCAGGATCGAAGCCAGCGGAGCCGTACGCATCATACTGCTTCCTCTTCACTTCGTCGCTCAGCACCTACCAGAAAGGCCCAGCAGTCAGGCCCTCCCGAGTCTCCCAAAGCCCAGAGCACAGACAAGCGTGCATGCCAACTACAGATAAGGGGATTGCGGCAACATTAAATCTCTTGGTTTTGACAAATGTACTGTGGTCATGCAAAAGAATGTTTTTGTTCTTAGAAAGCACACACTGGGAGACTGAAGAAGAGAGATGTTTGTGACTTGCTCCCCAACAGCTGAGGCAATGCATGCACATGTGCGCGCGCACACACGAAGAGCAGATACACGATACTCCACACAGCCTGAACCCCTCAGGCGCTCCAAGTCTGGGGAGAAGGTCCCTCTGGAATGGCTCAGCAGTCGTCCACAAGTCCGTGCTTCATCCCTCTGATTACATTTCAAATTCCTTAAGGGATGCCTTCTACTTTTACCATCCTCACCAGCCCCACGAGACAGTGATGCCTTAAGTAAGGGGGTCATCAAATGTGTGGGATTAATTAATCGTACCAGGAGCGCCTAGAGCGGGCTACAAAGGCAGGCGACCTGGGAGCTCTGTTAACACAGATGATTAGATCCTGTTTTCTATGAGAAGCCAAGCGGGATCTAGCGGGAGGCCTGGGGATCTTCACGGAGGTAATCTGGCATGGGGAATGCAGCCTTCACAGGGGACCTCACGACACGTCAGGCCACCCTGTGCTGCACACTTGGAACCACACCAGCAGCTGAGTGACGGCAGCTGCACACACAGGCAGGTCGCGTTACCTCGTAGGCTTCTGCCAGCTGGGAGAACTTCTCCTTGGCTTTGGGATCGTCCTTATTTGTGTCTGGGTGGTATTTCTTGGCCAGCTAAGGGAGGAAACGGTGAATTACTATGGACACAAGATGATGACCAACACTGGAACCCAAGTGACAGTCCCAATCTCACCTCCTTTACAGCAGTTGTTCAAGATTTTGTGACCCACAGCAATTCTGAAAACAAGGCTTAAGGCTTTAAAATAAACCGATCTCTTCAAATCTGAAGCATAAACACGTTTGTTGTTCAACCACAACAAATATCTACCAAAAATAACAACCGATCCCTTCAACTGGGGCACCTTTACGAAAGCAGCAGAGAAACGGTGTGTCTGCCAGACTACCGTCTACAGAAGAGGAGCAGAAACTACGTACCAGCTGATCAGCTCTTCTGGCCGAACACTAATGAGCTGGTGATGCCGACTGCAACAGGGAGGGTGTAAATAAACAAGAAGGAGGGAGACTTTCCACTGTATACTCCTCTGTGCTTTTCAAGAGCCTGAGCCGCTCTAAAGCGAAGGTGGCCTTCTGGCTGCTCCGAGCCGTGCTGTGCGCACAGTATGCGGCTCACCGGCGGGCCGGGCTGCAGAGTCTGGCTTACTGCAGCTCCCTCGAGTGAGGGATGGTGGCGTGCAGGATGCCAAAGCTTACTGGAGAAGCCGCGTGGCTCTGACACCCCGAGCCGCTGGCCGCAGTCTGGGGGCGGGAAGCTAAGCACACGGCCTCAGGGTCAGAGCGCCCAGGGCCACTGTCTGCTAGCTCTGCGACCTTGGGCAGAATGTCACCGAGCACAGTATACTCATCTGGAAAATGACAGTAACGGTACCTACTTCACAGGGCTGTGGTGGGGATAAAATGAGATAAATATATTCTAAAATGAGCACAAGGCCACTGGGCGTTATATACGCAACTACCGAATCACTGAATGCTACATCGAAAACTAATGATGCACTATATGGGGGCTAACGGAACGTAGTTAAAAAATAAAAATGACAATAATAAATAAATCAATAATAAAAATAAAGCAAGCACAAGGCATGGCACGCAGTAACATTCAACGTCAGCTATTTTTAGAACACAGAAGGGAGTGGAAGGATGTGTGCAGGAGGTGGGGGCACCTAAGGAGTTCTGACCGGGATTGAAAATTTTCAATGATGAGCGAACGCTTACTGCTATCAGTACACGCCAAATCATCAGGATGACTGCTGTGAAACACAGCACTGAAGCAGACAACCTCAGAGCTCACACGGGAGGCACGGAGTCCGCGGTGAAAGGAACGAGGGGAGGTGTCACATGTAAGAGAGCGTTCGTGCCGAGTAAAGACACAACAGTGTCATAGCTCAGAGTGCCAAATGAGGACCCAAAGGAGGTCAAATTCAAGAAAAGTACTAGGACACATCAGAGGGCTGTGTGACATCACGGGTCATGCTGGAGACACAAGGACAACAAACAGCACCAAACGATCTCATTTTAGACAAACATGATCATGTGAGATTCATATGGTTTCAAAGGGGGGCAGGATACATTTTAACAGACTTTACAATTAAAAAAAAGGGGGGGGTGTCAGGTCATGATCCAAGCCTGAGACACATGACAGGATTATTTTCTATGATGGGGAACTTGCTTTCAGCCAAGGTGGAGTGTACCATGACCAACAGCCCTCATCAGTGAAGAGTCTTCATTAGAGTAAGCCTAACTCTCTGCTTTTGGCTCATGGGTCACTTTAACCCTCTTTTACAAATCAGCCTGGCAAATAATGGACCCCACAGAGTCCTTTACACTAAGAATCAAAGGGCCCTCTATCTTCCACAGTAGCGAAAGAAAGCAATACAAATCACTAAGCCTGCAAAGAAAGAACTGGTCATGTGCTGCCCAACTTTGGTTTCCAGGAGGATGGAGGGTGCTGGCAGGTTGCCAGAAACACCCACCCACTCCTTAAAGCCAGGGAGACAGAACAAAGGCAGCAGCAGGAGAAGCTCCGCCACTGCAGAGTACAGCGCCACTGGTGCCTCTGAACTCAGCCTGCTTCTGGAGACGCCGGTCCTCACACCAGCTCATGGAGGCCAGCCAGAGGCTGGTGTGAACCCCAAAGCAGGGTCTCCAGGGACAGCCAGTAGATCATCGTGGGACACAAAGCTGGTCCCAGAAGCCAAGGCAAGACACAGCAATATACTCATGAGATTAGCTTAAGGAAAAGAGAGATCTTTTGTGGTATTTCAGTCTCATGAACAACACGTATTGACTAATGGAGCCTTGGCTGTATGTCATAACCTCTCCAAGCCTGTCAGGAGGATAAAATGATGCAATATCCCCAAAGCTTTCATCAAGGTCTGACCCCAGAAATTTCCCTATAAAGGCTACTTTAAACATGTCATCTTTAAACTGTGCAGGTTTACCAGGTCTTTTCACTTCCACACCTAAAGACTTGAATGGTTCCCTACTCTCTTTTTTTTCTGAATATTAAAGATTTTATTATGTTTAAGTTATCTCTAAACCCAACGTGGGGCTCAAACTCGTGACCCCAAGATCAAGAGGTCACGCTCCACCAGCTGAGCCAGCCGGGCGCCCCTCCCTGCTCTCTCTTAAGTTTCTAGGACGAACAGCCTCATGTTTCCCGCTAATTTGGCCCCAGCCTCCACCACTTCACTCCTCTCCCACTCTTACCTCAGGTACCCTGCCCTCCAGCTCAAAAGGAGAACAAGTTATTCACTATTCCAAACCAGGGTCTCTGCTTCCTACGCCCATGCCTTTGCTCATTCCATTACAACTCAGGAACGGACAAAGAACCTGAATACACATCCAGCAAACGGCCAACAAGCACATGGGAAGGTGCTCAACGTCCTGACCCTCCACTGAAAAGCAAATTAAAACCACAGTGAGACCCCACTTCACACTCACTAGGGTGGCTGTACTCGAAAGGAGGGGCAAGAACAAGAGTCGCTGTGGGTGTGGAGAAGTCAGAACCCTCTGATGGTGGGAACGTAAAATGGTGCGACCGTTTTGGAATAGTCCGGCAGTCCTCAAGAGGTTAACCACGGATTTAATCATGGTGACCCAGCAATTCTACTCCTAGGTATATGAACATACTCACGAGGAATGAAAACATAGATCTACACAAAACCTACACGTGGATGTTCCCAGCAGCATTCCCGGTAAACAGCAAAAAAGGGGAAACAAACAAGGCACCTGGGTGGCTCAGTTGGCTAAGCATCCAACTCATGGGCTCAGGGTCCACGAGATCAAGCCCCACGTGGGGCTTCATGCTCAGTAGGGAGTCTGCTTGAGATCTTCTCTCCCACTCCCTCTGCCTCGCTCTGCTGTGAGTGTACACATGCGTTCTCTCAAATAAATAGGTAAATCTTAAAAAAAAAAAAAAAGACTTCAAAAAAAAAAATAATAAAAATCTTTGGTGGGGGTGCCTGGGTGGCTCAGCAGGTTAAGCCTCTGCCTTCGGCTAAGGTCATGATCTGAGGGTCTAGGGATCGAGACCCATATCAGGCTCTGCTCAGCAGGGAGCCTGCTCCCCTCCTCTTCCTCTGCCTGCCTCTCTGTCTACTTGTGATCTCTCTCTCTGCCAAATAAATAAATAAAATCTTAAAAAAAAAAAAATCTTTGGTTCTGCCTATCTTTCTTCTGAAGTATTAACGAGTAGGGCCCAATGTGCCTGAGGAAGAGTCCAGCAACACCCACCGTTCTCATCTCATTCTACACTGTCAGCCTCATGGAACCCATACGTATGGGCAGCTGTGGCTCACTGGTGAGCAGACTAGACCAACAGCATCCCTTCTACAGTCTTGTCCCTAAAATCTGGCTTCCATACAGACCTGGTAATAGGCTTTCTTGATCTCCTTCTGGCTGGCATTTCGGGGCACTCCTAGTATCTGGTAATAATCCTCTTTGCCCAAAGGGGAGCTCGTATGGAAGGAGGCAGTGCAAACAAAAGGGTAACTTCTTACTCCTAGAAAAGAAAAAAGGAAAGAAAATCACCCTGGGAATGCGCTCAACAAAAGGAAATTGTGAGTAAACAGCCAGCCAGGTTATACCTGTGAAGGAATAGAGGTCACAGCTTCAGAGGCGGCTTTCCTCCAAGCCCTCTGGAGGAAAACTCACTGGAGACCTAACTCACTGCACTTCGAAAATGGACAAGGCCACTGGAGGCATTGAATATAAAACAAACACCACTGGGCAGGGCTGATTCTGCTGGACCACAAGACAATGAGGTGGTAGACTGGACCTGCGGGACAATGAAGAAGGGACCTAGTCCCACTCTTACACTACGCAAGCACCTGCACCGTAGCAGGTACCTTCACATGCGTTGTCTCCCTTAATGCTTAACAATTCTCCACGTTCCTTCCCTCCACCGCGCAACCTTGGGGATCTGCTTCTGGGGTGGCTCTCGGATGGTGGTCCCTGGACCAGCGGCACCATCAGCTTGTCGGAAATGCCCATTTTTAGGCCCCACCCCAGACCTGAGTCAGAAACTCTGGAGTACAGTAGCCTATATTTAACAAGCCCTCCAGGTGATGATTCTGCCACATGCTGAATTTGAGAACCACTGCACTAAAGAAATAGTTCTTAGTGTTTAAAGTCACAGATCTAAGAGTATCTGATAAAAGTGTTGCCCTTCCCCTAAAAACAATACACCTATATAGACACACAGGGTTAAAAGGCCCTATGCCTGAACCTGATCACCCCAGAGCAGCTAATGGGTCAATGCCCAACGCAGGCAGCCATATGCCCTTTCATGCTTCTGGCATCACTACCAAGAGAACAGCCACCAGCAGACACCCTCTGCCCCCCCCTTGACTGCACTCTGTGCATGTGGTCGACTAAGCTGGGCTGGTCTGTCACCAAGTGAAACAGGGGGAGCTGCCCCACACCTTGAGCCCTGCCTAACCCCCAACGCATCCCGTGACAACCAAAGATAGAGAGTGCAGGGCTGGGAGTGAAAGGGAGCCTCGTTAAGGCATAAAAGTCATGACAGCTCCAGGTTTCCAAGTCAAACTTCTGCCTACAAAGAAGCTTCTGGATTCCCCATTCGTTCATTCAGCAAATACGCATTGAGCATTTACTACTTGCCAGGCACTGGGTTCTGCACTGGGAATAGGCAGCAGACCATTCAAAGGAAATGCCATTCTGGGGCTTACAGATATTCAAGATCTTAACACTGTAGCAGGCACTGAGAATACAAGATGAAGAAAAAGGCCAAAGCCAGCACTCTCAAGGAGCTTACAGTCCTGCAGGCGAGTGTGGAGGCAGTGTGCAAGGAGATATTAGTACACAAGGACGTGCAGAGTCACATACAAAGAGTCACCTAATCAGGGTTTCTCAACTGCACATTGTTGATGATGGGATTGGATTCCTCCTGGTGGTGGGACTTTCCTATTGTTATGCACCCCCAATTCACCTGTTGAGGCCCTAATTCCCAGTGCCTCAGAATGTGACAGTTATTGGAAGTAGGGTCTTTAAAGACAACCCTCCTAAACACTGATCTTGGACTTCTAGCCTCTAGAACTGTGAGAATACATGTGGTTCTTTGTTATGGCATCCCTGGCCAACTAAAATACCTATGTGTCAAAGGATGTTCAGCAGCACCCTAGCCAACTACTTTTAAGTAGCACACTCTACTCCCCCTCTACCCTTGGCCACACGCTGGCAACTAAAAATGTCTCCACATATTGCCAAATGTTCTGCGGAGGGCAAAATCAACCCCAGTTGAGAACCACTGTTGATCCAACTGAAAGAGTTCTGGAAAGGTTTTTTAAGGCAGACACTGTTAAGCTGTAGAAATTAACCAGGCTAAGGAAAGGTTTGAATCCACCCAAATTACACCTACAGTCCTGATGTTATTTCCAACAGCTTCCCCTTTACTGCTCTAAAAAGCGGCTCACTTGGCTGCTAAATCACGTATCACCTTTGGTTCACAGCAAAGTCCTTGTGCATTTAGTAACGTGTGATATAACTAGATTTTACGCATGTAGAGGGGTGGTTAGAGATCATGAGGCTCCTGATGATTAATGAGGGCTAGGAATGACCGAAGGGCCCTTGAGCTATGCTAAGGAGCCCAGATTTTATCATGCACACAACAGGGAACCGCTCGGCTTTCCAGGAGAAAGCGTTCTCAACAATAGCAACAAACTATGGAGGCCTGGGAGACCACTTAAAATTAATAAAACACAAAACACACGCAGGGGTGTTGAGGCTATCCAGGAAGGGGGCAAGATCATCAAACTGGAGAATGACTAGGGAACCCGGCCAAGGGCACAATTCAGACACATGATTGGTTCAGTGTTTCCTCCTTCCTTCTTTCACTATAATGGAAGTCATCCAACACAGAGCAGAACCATCAATGCTGAACACTTAGAGGCTTAATACGTATTAATTCAGTATCACCTCCAGCAATTAAGAAAGCTGGCTTTAAATCAAGGTTCCACCATCTTTGTTTTGTCACATTCTACACAAGCTGCTGAACACCGAGGCTTAAGTTTCTTTACACAATGGAATAGCAACAGTGTCTATCACATGGAAATGATCCACGCCTCCTACGTGAAAGTGCTCAATAAATGTTAGTTTGTATTTTTATCACAATCACCAGTTTAAGGACTTAGGAAAGACTGTTAAGTGTGCCCTTCAGCTAAAAACATGTGGTAGAAGGAGCATAAGCTATTAAAGGACAGCTCTGTGTTTGGGACGACTCTTCTCATCTACCTTTGTGACCTCAGTTTCCCGTTCTTTAAAATGAGAATGACGACAGCCTTCCTGCAGGATTGTTACCATCAAGCGAAATGGGGCACAAAGTGCCTAGCACCTAACAGGTGCTCACCGAGTAACAAATATCTCCTCCTGTCCGGCCAGAAGGTGAAGGGAGGAGACGGGAACAGAACAGGGTATCGCAGCAGCGGCGGGCCGGAAAGAGGCTTCTAGAAATGTTGACAGAGAGTGAAGGTTGTGGGCCTACAGAACGTTTCACCACCGCCGCCGGGGCTCCATGCAGCTCTCCCTGGTTCACCGCTTCTAAGAAGCCATTTGGGCCTCTCTGCCTCTCGCTTGTCAGTCTCTCCAAGCAATTCCGCATTCAGGTTAGAAACAACCTCCACCCCGCCACCCCCGTAGCCGGATCGAGTCACTCCATTACGGGCCTTAGCGATCCCACACTCGGGCTCTGGAACCTGCCCTCACCTTTGAAGCTGACACCGGGTCTCAATGTCAGCAGCGCCCCGGAGCCCCGCGCTCCAAAGGAAGGCGCGAAGGTAGTGACGTTCAGCTTGTGCCCCAGCGAAGCCCCCACCACACCCACCCTGGGCGGCGGGGCTCCTCTCCCCGCTGCAGCTGGCAGCCTCGGGGTCCCCACCGCCACCAGCAGCCAGCGTGTGGAACACCGCGCCGCCATCTTCGCTGAGGGACACCGCGCCTGCGCCACCCGGCTCAAGGAGGCATCGCGAGGACAGTGAGCGGCTGCAGAGACGGTACTTCCGGAGGCGGGGCCCGATGCGCGCGCACGCACGGACGCACGCGTTGCGCACGTGCAGCAGCACTCCAATGCGCCTTTCTGGTAGCCACCGCCGAAATGAGATTTACTCTGAAGAGTGCAACTAGGTATAGCGGCCCTAAAGAACCTCATCATTCTGTGCTGTATGGCCAAGGTTGTACCTTATCTGTGTAAAAACGTGGTTGACAGTAGCCAGGTGTCACTTCCCAGTGTCCCGGTGAAGGGCGGGACTACAAATCCCGCCGTGCAGTGCGGCTGTCAGTCGCGCAGATCCCAGGATGCAGTGCGCGTCTTCCTCCTTCCTACCAGAAACTCAACATCTTGCGTTGAATGTTACTCACCTTGCGCCGGCGGGAGCGCGCGGGGCCTCTGCCCTACTTCCAAAGCCTGGACTCGGGCTCATTTTCTCTCTGGCAGATTCCTCACTGGGCGGACTTGGACCACTCGGTTCTGTCCTAAGCGTGTTGGTCTCCTCCAAATCTGTAATGAACTTGCCAGTCGCGGAGGGAGAGCTGAGCCCCGCACAAACCAATGTAATAAACCTTGTGAGCACCTACAGTGTGTCACGCACGTTCTTCTAGACTACTGGGGGGGTCCAACGATGAATGACATGCCGTCGCTGCTCTTGGGGAGCAAATGATGAATCGAGGGAGACTGGGTCCTTAGCAATTAACACGATCAGTGCTGTCATAGATACAAACAATGTTAGAGGCGACGAGTTTTTTAAACAAATTGGAGGGCCTGGAGTGTTAGGGAAGGCATCTGAGAGGTAACATTCTAGTTGGACTTTGATGGCAAGTGCGTCAGGTAGGGGTGGAGGGGAAAGTGTTCCAAGGAGAAGGAACTTCAAAAGCAGGTGTCTTAGAGGTGTGAAAGGGGTTGGTCAGTAGGTTTAAGCCCTAAACTTGGGGTGTGTGACTGGAGATGAGGCTAGACAGGTAAACCTGGTCTGGTAAGCCTTACCAAGGAATTTCAACTTACACACACACCCCGGACTGCCACCCCCAAACAATAAGAAGGGAACCTGAGGGTTCACTGATGGGTTTAAGATAATGTGTGCTCGGGGCACCTGGATGGCTCAGTGGGTTAAGCCTCCGCCTTCTGTTGGGGTCGTGATCTCAGGGTCCTGGGATTGAGCCCCTCATCGGGCTCTCTGCTGGGCAAAGAGCCTGCTTCACCCTCTCTCTGCCTGCCTCTCTGCCTACTTGTGATCTCTCTGTCAAATAAATAAATAAGATATTAAAAAAAAAAGATGATGTGTGTTCCTTGCCCCTTCTGCCCATTGTACTCAAATTTTTGTGGATGTGGATGTTAATCTGGGTAATAGCCATAGCTTTCATTGATAAGATTCTCCACAGGTTCTGAGATTCAAAGAAGGTTTAAAAACCACTGGTCCCAGGGCACCTGGGTGGCTCAGTGGGTTGAACCTCTGCCTTTGGCTCAGGTCATGATCTCAGGGTCCTGGGATTGAGCCCTCCATCAGGCTATCTGCTCAGTGAGGAGCCTGCTTCCCCCCTTCTCTCTCTGCCTGCCTCTCTGCCTACTTGTGATCTCTCTCTGTGTCAAATAAATAAATTAAATCTTAAAAACAACAACAACAACACTGGTTTGGGGCACCTGGGTCCGTGCCCCAGTGCCCCTGCTCGGCGGGGAGTCTGCTTCTCCTTCTCCCTCTACTTCTCCCCACTCCTCACTTGTGCTCTCTCACTCTCTCTCTCAAGTGAATCAATAAAATCTTAAAAATAAAAACCACCGGTCTAATGAAAAAGTTACAAGACTACTGTAAAATGTAAGGAGTAGTTGAGAGTTTGGGCTAAGGAACCTAGAGAGGAGGTATTTTAGAGAAACAAGGCAGAGGTGGTCATGGCATGGGAAGTGGAGATAAGAGTTTATTTAATATGTTCAGCCAATATTTAAATGTCTTCAGCATAGTGGTTAAGAGTATGGGCCCTGGAGTCAGAGTGCCTGGGAATGAATCCCAGCTCTGCCACTTATCAGCTGTGTGTTCTTGGGCAACTTCCTTTACCTCCCTGTGCCTCAGTTTCCTTTCTCTAAAATGGGGACATAATGGTAACTGCCTTGAAGGATCGTCTGAGGAATGAGTGAGATAATCCACATGAAGACTTCATACAGTATTTAGCCCATAGTAAGTGCTCAGTATATCTTAGCCCTATGTGCCAGGCCCTGTGCTAACCACTGAGAATACCAAGCAGAACTCAGACACAGTTACTTGGCCACGAGGAACCCAAAACCTAGGGGGAAAGAGTGGGGGAGGGTGCTGTATGAGAAGTAAAACTTTCAGGAATAAACGTTGACAAGAAGAGGCCAAAGGACTTTCATTTACCACCTCAGAGTTAGTTAGGAGCCAGCCGAGGGCTCACTAATATGAAAACTTTGTCAGCTTTGTAACTTCCTCATATTTTGGCATTTTAGTTCTCCCCCTATCCATTTCCACATTAATACTAAAAAATCACACTAAAAGGGGGAGTGTGTTCTTGTTTTGGGGGATAGCAGGAAGGCTGATTGCTGGGGAGTCTGCTTTCCCTCTCAGGAAGTAGAGAATCCCCGGGAAATGGAGTAAGTGCTGGTGACTACTGAAGGAGAAGAAACTGGTTTTTTGGGAAGCCACCAGAACGACGCCCTGGTGAAATCAGCCTAGGTCCTATACGAGGTCCCCTTCATGCTCGTCACGATAGAGAAGCAGGAGATGATACAATTAGTAAACACGGGTAAGTTACAAAGCTCTGGAAATCTTCACAACAGAGATTACCTTGATTGGATAATTGGTTGGGGGGACAATGAATAAGCTTCTTTCTGTTCCCCTAACACCAAGCTGAAAACCCCAGGGAAGGAGCTGGTTTGGGGAGAAAGATGATGAGTCACTGTTGTTTGGGCTCATCATGCTTGAGATTCTGTGGGACCAATTTCAGACTTGGTGGCTATGGAGAGATCTGAAAAATGCAGCTTTGCTCAGAACATTCTCTTTCTAGTTCACAAAGAGCTTTGTCATATTTTCTATTTTGATCACAGTCCTGTGAGGTAAGGCAAAGACTATTCCGGTATGTACAAATGGACTCCCTTCCCCCCACATCCCCTGCGCAGCACAAAATAAGCTGTGCAAGATGAAAAACTCGTCCAAGGTCACAGAGCTTGTGTGTGGGTGAGCCAAGATCCACACCAGGGGCCCCCTAACAAAACCCAAAACTCTTCCCTTTAAATCATGCACCTTCGTGTCATTGTGATCAATAGTTCCTGGTCAGAGGGCCCTTGCTAGTTTACAGAGTCCTTTCTCCTGATGAATGTCCTCAGCTTCTCACAGCAAAAGGAAGGCATGCGCAAGTATTTATTACCACTCCACCTACAAAATGTTTCCCTGCCTTCCAAAGACTTCAGCTGTGACAGGACACAAAATGACCCATCCCAGGCTTGTTGCCAAAAACTGGGAGGAGCACATGGGCCACATCTGTGCACATCCTCCCAGGCAGAATGTATCCTGTGTCCATCATCCACTGCTCCCCGCCCTTCTCCAGTCTAAAGCCAAAGTATTTAGCTTTAAGAAGAAGCAAATGTTACTTGCAAAAGGCATGCAAGGCTCACAAGCATCCCCCCCGCCCCCACACTTGTCATTTCACTGTTCCACTGGACCCTTTCCCTCTCTCCTGAGGCAATGAGGTCAGTGAGAGCTAGTAGGGAGTTTTTGTTTTGTTATGTTTTGTTCGTAAGTTGATTTATTTATTTAAGCAATCTCTACACCCAGTGTGGGGCTCGAACTCCCAACCCCAAGATTAAGTGTCGCTCGCTCTTCAGACAGACAGGCACCTCTAGTAGGGAGTTTTAAGTATGGTATCTTCTGTGATTTCCTGCAGACTCTGACCATCCAGGCTGCAGTGGAGTCAGCGGAGTCCATGACTACCCAATGGGATGGCTGTTCCCCTCCCCAAGCGAGTGAGGATCCCTTCCAGGGAAGACCAAAGAGCCTGAGCCAGTCTCTGCAGAGGCAATAAAAAGCAGCTGTTTCTCTAATTGTAGCATTTCCTTTCCTCCCCAAGCGACTATAGGACAATTCCAAGGGGGTACGGGATGTGTGACCCAGATGTTGCCGGGCATGAATGACATCTGCCGTGGGAGCAGTTCCCTACAGAACAAGGAGACAAACTGTCCTCGCCTTGGTCCCCTGTGTGTTCCCCAGTGGGACCTCTGTGCTAATGATTTCCTAAATGACCCTTTAAATAAACTACAGGTGTCTGACTTGCAGCTAAATATTCTTCTGCCCAAAAGAGGCTTAAACTTCAGCAATGTTTCACAGACCAAAGAAATGAAAGAAATTCTTTTAAAGGAAAAAGAAATCAGACACTGAGAATAAAGCTCTGGATCCTCTGGCAGTCAGGGAACTCCAGCGTGAAAAGCATTATGTTAGAAAATGACAGTCTTTTACGTGAGAATTCCCTTTAGTTGTAAATTATAACCACAAAAATTAAATGTTGTGTCTGCTAGAACCATTTCACATTACCGTAAAAAATTAAAACAAGGGCGCCTGGGTGGGTCAGTCAGTTAAGCCTCGGCCTTTGGCTCAGGTCATGATCCTCGGGTCCTGGGATTGTGTCCTGCATCAGGCTCCCTGCTTAGTGGGGAGTCTGCTTCTCTCTCTACTCCCTGCCCCTGCTTGTGATCTCTCTCTCTCTCTCTCTCTCAAATAAATAAATAAAATCTTTAAAATATCAAAACAAATCATTTGAAGTAGTAAAACTTCAGAGCCCTAGGAACATGTGGGTATGCCTTCATCTGAGAAACAAAAAATAATAATGCGAGGAGCACTGTCATGCTGGGATGGGATATGGAGAGTTTTTGTCAATTTTTGAAATGTATTTTGTTGCATAATTTTTTTTTCTGTGCTGAGAACTACAAGTGCTTTTCCTGTTGTTTTTTTTTTTTTAAAGATTTTATGTATTTATTTGACACAGAGTGAGCACAAGCAGGGGGAACAGCAGGCAAAGGGAGAGGAAGAAACAGTCTCCCTGCTGAACAGGGAGCCCGATGCAGAATTCAATCCCGGGACCCCAGGATCATGACCTGAGCCGAAAGCAGATGCTTAACCGACTGAGACTAAGCCATCCAGGCACCACTACCATACATCTTAAACAGTCATTTCAAGGGCAGGTAACTAGATCTAAGGATTTTTTGTTGTCATTGAATCCATCCAACTCTTTCTTGCAAAAATTCTGACTTATGCAAACCACTAACTTTACAGAAGATTAAGGGAACATCAAGATAGAAACTTCTTTTCTTTAGCCTCACAGTTTAGAATAAGGTTGCATCCTGAGGTTCTTTCGATGTTTTTGTGCCTTTTTTTTCTTCCCTATTTTTCCCTTGCTGCCCTTTTCTCTCTGCTAAGATTCTTTCAAATACATAAAGTGTTTTGTTTTCTAGAAGGAGGCCTTCACTACAATGGATTCCTAAATTCTTGTTTGCTAGTCATTACTCTTGGAAACAGCACCTGTGAAATGGAAATCATCCTGGCCCCAAGTTAACCAGACATCCTTGTTCTGCTGGAATTTGATCCACCTTTTGATAAACTGCCCTTTAGGTTAGAGAGCGGTCTTCCAGTATCCTTGTAGACAAACAGCAAAGTGCAGTCAGTAGGAGTATAGAGAAACAAAGCTGGTAATTTTTAGACTCATGGGACTGCAAGGAATCTTGGAGCCTGTCAGTTCAACCTTGCAGTTCACAATTTTTTTCTGCTCAATTTGGCAACAGCTTCAGAGCTCTGGGGTCTCTCTACCAGAATCACTGTCTCCACCTGGAATGGATCTGGGAATGCGTGACATGACCAGGCTCTGACCCCTGATGTTCTTCTGTCTCTTCCTTCTCCTTGCTGTGGAGCTTGGGTTCGTGGCTGGGGGAATGAGAAACCTGACATTCTTCTGCTCGGTTTCCATCAACCCTCAGTTTATGGAAATCTAGTCCTATGACTCAACATAGCCGGGGGCATGGTTCATTTCTCTCCTGGGAGAGAAGGTCAGAGGTCATAAGCCTAGGTGCCAAGGCCAGGCAGGAAAGGATGGATGGAGTAGTGGCAGATAAACTGAGGCATCAGGGGGAGTGTGGTGAATGGGAAAACATGCAGTAATCGTGGCAGGTAATACTCAGTGGGCCCATTTTTGCCAGGTGGGGATGTGGACCTAGCTGCCAAATCTTTCCATTTTTCCAGAGCGTCTGAAATCCAAACTTTTAGGAAATTTCCCAATTTTTATTTATTTTATTTGTTTATTTTTAAAGATTTTATTTATTAATTTGACAGAGATCAGAAGTAGGCAGAGAGAGAGAGAGAGAGGAGGAAGCAGGCTCCCCACAGAGCAGAGAGCCTGATGAGGGGCTCGATCCCAGGACCCTGGGATCATGACCTGAGCCGAAGGCAGAGGCTTTAACCCACTGAGCCACCCAGGTGCCCGGAAATTTCCCAATTTTTAAAACATCATGTGAACCAACTAAAATGTATCTGTGAACCAGATTCAGCTCACGACATGTCCATTTGTTACCTCTGGGGGTTAAAAGACTTTCCTGACCTGCCTATTTAGGCTTATCTGACATAATGATAAATTCAAACAAAAGAAAACAAGAACAAACTCAGGGATAGCAATGAGGTGACACCAAGCAAATTTGGAAGGTTTATATGAACCTTTGCTGTAGATGCATAGTTAACTTATATTAAAAAAAATTTGGGGTTGTCTGGGTGGCTCAGTTGTTAAGCATATGTTTTTGGCTCAGGTCATGATCCTGGGGTCCTGGGATCGAGTCCCGCATCATGTTCCCTGCTCAGCAGGGAGCCCTCTTCTCCCTCTGACTGCTGCTCCCTCTGCTTGTGCGTACTTGCTCTCTCTTTCTCTCTCTCTGACAAAATCTCTTTCAAAAAAAAGATTTTATTTATTTATTTGACAAAGAGAGACACAGCGAGAGGAGAGGGAACACAAAGCAGGAGCGGTTGGAGAGGGAGAAGCAGACTTCCCACTGAGCAGGGAGCCCGATGTGGGGCTCGACCCCAGGACCGTGGGATCATGACCCGAGCTGGAGGCAGACCCTTAACAACTGAGCCACCCAGGCGCCCCGGAATTGTTGGATCATATGATAATTCTATTTTTAATTCTTTGAGGAACTACTGTAGTGTTTTCCACAGTGGTTGCATCATTTTACATTCTCATCAACAGAGCATAAAGTTTCCAATTACTCTACATCTTCACCAACACCTGTTATTTTCTGGGGGTTTTGTTTCTTGGTAGTAGCCATCCTGTTGGGTGTGAAGTGGTATCACAACAGTTTTGATTTCCCTAATGGCTAGTGATGTTGAGCATCTTTTCATACCCTTAATGGCCATTGGAATATCTTCTTGGGAGCAATGTCTATCCAAGACTTTTGGCAATTAAAAAAATTATTTATGTATTTGACAGAGACACAGCAAGAGAGGGAATATAGTAGGCAGGGAGAGTGGGAGAGGGAGAAGCAGGCTTCCCATGGAACAGGGAGCCTGATGTGAGGCTGGATCCCAGGACCCCAGGATCATGACCTGAGCCGAAGGCAGATGCTTAACGACTGAGCCACCCAGATGCCCCAACTTTTGCCAATTAAAAAAATATATATTTTATTTATGTATGGGCGGGGGCACGAACAGGGAGAGGGGCAGAGGGAGAAGGAGAAGCAGACTCCCTGCTGAGCACGGAGCCAGACTCGGGGCTCGATGCAGGACTGGATTCCAAGACTGTGAGATCATGACCTGAGTGGAAGTCAGATGCCTAACCAACTGAGCCAATGAGGTACCCCAGAAACTTGCCAAATTTAAGTGGTTTGTTTTTGTTGTTATTGATTTTTAGGAATTCTCTATTATATTCTCCGTATGAATCCCTTATCAGTCACGTATATGATTTGCAAATATTTTCTTCCATTCTGTAGATTGCCTTTTTATTCTGTTGATGATGTCTTTTGAGGAACTGATTTTTAAATTCTTCATGATTTGCTTTTTTTTTTCTTTTTTGCCTGGATGTTTTGGTTTCTTTTTGGTTGATTTACATGTGAATTGCAATGCATAATGTCTGAGTGTCCCCTTCCTGGGATGTTATAAGTCAAATATTGTTGATGCAAAAAGAGGTTACTGCATACCACGGAGTTAAACAGTCTATAGTAACAGATGGTATTAAACTATTAATAGTTGTAATTCTAGGGGCACCTGGGTGGCTCAGTGGGTTAGGCCTCTGCCTTCAGCTCAGGTCATGATCTCGGGGTCCTGGGATCGAGCCCCGCATAGGGCTCTCTGCTCGGCAGGGAGCCTGCTTCCCCCCTCTCTCTTTGCCTGCCTCTCTGTCTACTTGTGATATCTCTCTCTCTCTCTCTCTCTGTCAAATAAATAAATAAATAAAATCTTTTTTTAAAAAACTGTAATTATAGGCATGCCTGGGTGGCTCAGTTGTTAAGCATTTGCCTTTGGCTTGGGTCATGATCCCAAGGTCCTGGGATCAAGCCCCACATCGGGCTCCCTGCTCAGCGAGAAGCCTGCTTCTCCCTCTCCCACTCGCCCTGCTTGTGTTCCCTCCCTCACTGTCTCTTTCTCTATCAAGTAAATAAAATAAAATAATTGTAATTCTAAAAGCGGTATCTGGTATGGAGAAACCTCAAAAAAATATAAGTACTCTGTGATTCAGTAAACCCACTTCTGGATATATATCCAAAAGAACTGAAAGCAGGGCCTTAAAGAGGGATTTGCATGTTCACGTTCATAGCAGCATTATTCACCATAGCCAAGAGGTGAGAGAACCCAAATGGCTGTTGATGGGTAAATAAAATGGGTTCTATTAATGGCATATATTATATGGTGCATACAGTGGTATAATAGACTAAACCAGGACAGAAATCCTAAAAAAAAAAAAAAGAAAAAAAAAAAAAGATAATAAATAGACTTAACCAGGACAGAAATACTAAAAAAAAAATAATGATAATGATAGAAACCTGGCTGGTTCAGTCAGTACAGTGTGTGACTCCTGATCTCCTGGTTGTTAGTTCAAGCCCCACATTGGGCATAGAGCTTACTTTGGAAAATAAAATGTGGGGTTGGGGGGCAAGAAATATTATCACATGTTACAAAAGGAAAAACCTAAGGACACTATGCTAAGGAAAATAAAGGACAAATAACATAGGACTCCGCTGACATGAGATAACTAAAGTAGTCAGACTAGGGGCTCCTGACTAGCTCAGTAAGAGGAGCATGGGACTCTGGATCTCAGGGTTGAGAGTTCGAGCCCCATGTTGGGTGTAGAGAGTACTTAAAAATGAAACCTTAAAAAGTGAATGCATACATAAAGTAGTCAAACTAATAGAAAGTAGAATGGTGGTTACCATGGTGGGGTTGGTGGGAAGGAGCAATGAAGAGCTGTTGTTTGATGAGTACAGAGTCTCAGTGTTGCCTGAAAAGGTTCTGGATACCTGTTGCCCAACACTGTGAATGTCCCTAATACTACTGAACTGTACACTTAAAAATTGTAAATCATATATATATATATATCTTAACCACAGTTTTTTTTTGCTGTTGTTGATTTTAAAAGAAGCAATATCAGCAGTAATCAAACACCACAACTGTGAGACAGCACTGCGGACTCTGCTGGAATTCCAGAGTTCCAAGTGTAGGCTCCCCAGAGAAAGCTGTATCCAGTGGCTGCTGGACTGCTCAGAATTCCAAATCCCAGGCCTCAGTCAACTCTACTGGCCTCTTATTTTCAGTTTATGGAGATCAAAGTCGCTCTTAACTCGCTGGGTAGGATACAAGGTAGCCTTTGAGACTTCAAGTTTACTTGTGAAAACTGAAAAAAAAGAACTTGCATCTGGGGGTCGGTTGGTGCCCTCCACGACTGCAAACTTCTTCAGAATCACCCTGTGGGCAGGTACCTCCGGACAGGCTCTCCTCTGCCACAGACTCCGGAAATTTTTGCAGCAATCATTGGCATTCCTCAGATCAAAGTCCTTTTTACAGACACGCCTGAGCAGGTGTTCTGCCTGTTCTCAAGCAGAAAGCGTATTCTGGAGTTCGCTTTCAAAGCAAAGAGAAATATGCTTGTGGAATGAATGGCCCCAGGTGAAATGAAGCCGTTCTCTTTTCTTCCTGAGTTGTCTGGGGACTAAGCGAGTCATTGGTGGGGCAGCGGCACTCTGAAAGTTATTCTCCATTTCTCTCACGTTTCTGCCTTTCCGTTTATCTCTAAATCATACTTGCTTTCATTGCAGGTGTCAGTCCTGCCCTACGGCGCCCAAGGCCTGCGCCAAGACATGCCCTAATGCGGGGATGCTGAAGGCCGCACCCTTGCCCTCAAGTCCACCTGGCCTAAGCAGGAGGAGTGGGACGCGGAGGCGCTGGAGTAAGCCCAGCGATAGGGATGTGCGTCAGACCTGGGCTCCCCTTCCTTTCCCCGCTGCCACCCGCTATCTGTGTGATCGCGGCCAGCAGCTCCTCTCTCCTGAGCGTGGTCCCCGAGTCCGAAATGGAGCTAGTCTACTTCTGCCCCCTCTCTGCCCGGCGTAGGCCGCGCCCGGGACGCTGGAGAGCCGCCCGCCGGAAAAACACCTGACTACAAAACCGGGACTGTGCCCCCAGCCCCCGCGCGCGCCCCTCGAGGTCGGGGGCGGACAGCGCGCCGCACGTGATCTCCCCGCCCGCGCCGCCAGCCCGCCGGCATTGGGGCGTGGCCCCGCCTGGCGGCCTCGCGGCGATTGGTTGCGGGGCGGGGCCGGCGGCGCTCCCGCCGGGGGAGAAATGCCAGGGGCGGGGCCCGGTGGGCCGGAGCGGGCTGGGATTGGCCGGGGGCGTGCCGGGGCGTGGCCGCGAGCTGCAGCAGGCGGGTGGGGCCGGAGGCGGCGGGAGTCGCGGCTGCTGTCCGTGCACCTGAGAGCCGACGCCCGGGTCCTCGAAGCTGCACCCGCCGCCGTCCTCGTCGCCATGAGCCGCTTCAAGGTGTCCAAGTTCCGACACACGGAGGCCCGGCCGTCCCGCCGCGAGGTAAGCCCTGCCCTCGGGCCCCTGCGCCCCTCCCCCTACCCCGGACCCCGCTCGGGGACCCCTGAGCCCGCCTGCCCCGGGGCGCCCCCTTCAGGCCCGGGCCCGGCTGTTCCGTCGCACTCGGAGGACAGAATCAGGCGTTCCCTGGCCGGGTCCCTCTCTGGCCGCTCTGTGAGCGCCGCGGTCCGCGGGCTCGCCCGCCTCGCCCCGGGACCCCCGAAGCGGTGTAGCTCGCCCAGCCGCGCCGAGGCCTGAGGCCTGCAAGGCTGCCTGCCTTCTCGGCTTCCGGTCGGCCTCGCCGGGCACCGCGGCTCGGGCGCTGCTGGCACCAGCTCCTCCCCGCCGCCCTGATCGGCCCTTCCCGGGGCTGGGGTATGGGAGAGATGTCGCTCTCTCCGCTGGCCTTGACGAGTCCGGGTGTGTCAGCTGAAGAGCGGGAGCCCCTCAGTCAGAGGCGCGCCCCTCCCTCGGGTTTCCGCCGGCGCTTCCTTCTCTCTGGGCTGGCGCAAGAGCAGCTCTTCTCTTACTGGGGTGATGCTGCCAGGGTTGGGTGGGGTCTGGGGAGGCCCGAGGAGGTGGAGCCCAGAGGAAGAGCTGAGCCAGGTGTTGGGGCGCCTTGGACCCCCCGGAAGGGCAGCCGGCCTCATGAGGGGTGTGCTTCAGAGATGATGCCAGTCCAATTCTGCTGCTCCCAATACTATTTGGAAGGCTTAGGAGCTGACCTCTAGTAACCCCATCAGGAGCAAACGCACAGCAGGGTAGCTGGGGCAGAAGCCCAGTTTTCATCCTCTGGACATATTTCCTCTGTACTTCCGTGTGCTCCTGGAACCACAACTGTGAACACCACAGCACTTTACTTCCTCTGAACTGCTAACAGTTTTGTGAGGGAGACATCCAGCAAGCAGACATGCCTGCAAGGGCACTGCAAGTTTTAGTAAGTGCCCCAAAGAACACGCAGGAAGGGCTGGGATGGAGATGGAGATGAATGGCCACGTGGAGGTTAATCTCCTTACAGTAGTCAGGGAAGGCTCCAGGGAGAAGGTGACATTTAAGCTGAGGCCAGGAGGGTGAGAAGCAGCCAGCTATGAGAAGAGTGGGGTGGGAAGGAGCCTGGAAAGTGGGCCAGGGTAGATGGAGGGCAGTGATGGGGAAGCAGGCTATCAGATGGTCCAGAGCAGTCCTATAGAGTTCGAGGGCCACAGGAAGAAGTTGGGTTGTTTCTGAGTGCAGTACTAAAAAGGTTGTAAGCAAAGCGAGGGGTGGAGAGGTGCTCAGATTTGCATCAATACCGTCCTTCTGCGTGCAGTAAGCACTCCTTTATGGTCTGGAGTATACTCGATGGGCTTTGGGGCTTGTCCCAGGTGGGCCGCAGTCCAGCAAAGTAAACAGATGAGCATGGGACCAGGGATTACAGAGAAAGGTTTAAACAGTTTAGGGTAGGGAGATGGGAGGACAGGTGATCTGTTCTCCTTTTAAAGGTATTTCCTATCACTCTGTGCAGTAAACATGAAAAAATGCAAGATGATAATGCAGGTGAAAATTGAAATAGAAACTTGCATGGGAGAGGCGGTTTCTGGTGCACTGTGGGTGGGAAGGTTGGGACACAAGGGTGTTCAGTTTTCAGGTGGCCGGGATGAGTGTCACGGAGTGCTTTGATACCAACAAGAGAAAACATATGGACCTTGCTGATCTTTAGTTTCAGAAGGAGTGCTACTTTGCCCCTCCGTATGTGGGGGTGTTAACATTATTGCCTTCTCTCGGGGGTGCAGTGTTCACCTTTCTGTGAGACCTTGTGGAGAGGCCTTGATTCTTCCCCTTTCTGAGCTTGAGTGTTTTCTCCTGGGGCTTGCAAGGAGACCCCTGTGCTTGGGGGAGGCCTTCGGCAGTGCCCTGGAGGAAGTTGAGTCTGTCTTCTGTTTTAGGTGCTCACTTCTGCTTTCACTGCTTTTCTCTCTCCCTTTTAACAGGAATAACCCCCTGGCCTCTTGACTACATTTATCCAGAGCTTCCCTTCTGACAGTTTTCTCCCCCTTATTAGAGAACTGATTTAATAGACCAAATTACTCCGCTGTGATTGAGGTTATCATTTCAGTAATATATTGCATATCCTAAGGGAGTATGAGTGGGCACAGGGTTAGATCCAAAGAAATGCATTTCTAATTGTGCAGCCCCTGCCTTAGTTATGAGCAGAGACCTGGCTGTCACAATTCTTTTCTTTATTTTCAGGCCTGGATCAGTGACATTCGAGCAGGAACCACACCCTCATGTGGGAACCAGATCAAATCCAGCTGCCACTTGATTGCATTTAACTCTGACCGTCCAGGTAGGGAGCTGGACGTGGATGTGGGTGGACATTCAGACATTGTCACCCTAATAAAGATGGGGCAGAAGGGCAGGCTCATTTCAGGCCGGAGGCTTGAAGACTCCTTGGGGTCAGAGGTCAGCACCCTGCAGGGCCTTAGACCCCTACAAAGTGGTCAGTGTGCAGAAATGGATTGATTTTGATGTGGTTATGTACTCATACTTTATATAAACCACACTGCCTGTGGTTTTTTTTTGTTTTTTTTTTTTTAATTTATTTGAGTGAGACAGACAGTATGAGTGGGAGGGGGAGAGGGAGAGGGAGAGAATGTCAAGCAGATTCCACACCGAGCATGAAGTCCAACATGGAGCTCGATCCCAGGACCCTGAGATCATGACCAGAGCTGAAACCAAACGTCAAACGCTTAACGCACTGAGCCATCCAGGTGTCCCTGGCTATGGTTTTTAACAGATTGGCCAGGACGATAAGGAGAGGACTGCCCTCTTTGTTTTCAGCTATCCCCATATGCTAGCCATTCCTCATCTGGGCGTCTGGGATTGTCTGGAGTCAATAGGAACACCAAGATTTGAAAAGCTCCCCTATGTTAGTTGGGACTTTTTGGTCACTAGTGATAACTTGAACGTCAAACGGAGTTAAACAAAATTCAGATAGTTCTTCGGCTGGTGTCATTAAGTCATCCAGAGGCTTTGGGCAGAGCCGTATGCAGAGGCTCACACATGCCATCGGCCCTGACCTGTATCCTGTTCTCGAGCTGTGCTGCCCTTGGATGATGGCTTCTTTCTCAAGAAAAGCTGGGGAAAGTGGCCACTGGTGGCCCTAGGCTGACCCCATATGACCCACAATGTGAAAAAGAGACAATCTCTTTCTTCAATGTGTTCTGTACATCTGATGTCACATGTTCTTTATGTCACATGTTCTTTCATAGGAAAAGAAAATAATCTTGGATCAATCACTGTGTTCAGGGGGATATTGTCTTATGATTGGTGGAGGCTCTGGGAAGGTCCAAGGCTGAGCTTTTGGGTCTCCTGTCCTCTGGGTGCCCTGGGCAGTAGAAAGTTCCCATTAGGACTGAAGTCAGAAGCCCCCATGTGTTTGACAGGTGTGCTGGGCATTGTGCCTTTGGAAGGCCAAGGAGAGGACAAGAGACAGGTGACCTACCTCGGCTGCCATTCAGGTGAGTGGAGACTGGACCAAAAAAGTCTAGAACTTGCTCCTCCCTCCCTGGGTGCAGGGACTCCTACTCACCTGAAGCCACAGTCCCATGGCTGGCGAGGTTCCTCCTACTATACCTTGCTCTACCTTCGTACAGTGTCCATATTGGAAGGCTGGGTCCTGGTTGAGCATTCCGCTTGGGCAGAGAGAGGGGAACCTGAGTGCTCCAGGTCGCCCACCTGAGAGGATGGGGACGAGTCCGGCCAGCACCATGCTCCAGGTCGATGCCGTGGAGTGCACTGTGGCAGACTCAACCCTCTGGGATTCTTAGCCCTGCATCTTCTCCTGGAGCCCAGCAGACCACCCCTCACCACCAGGCCTCCTCCTCAGCCAGGCTGCTCAACACCCTTCTAGGAGGGGGCCGTCCGGGCTTCGGGGCTGGAGATGGGGCCTCACAAAGAGAGCTTTTGTGAGCTACATCTGCTTCTGGGGGCAACCGGCAGCCCGCCTGGCAGCCCGCCCGCTCCGAGGGAACAGCTCCCTCTCCCTGGGCTGCGGCAGCCCTGGCCCAGCTGCCTCCTCGCTCCCTGTCCAGCTGCTGCTGCGGCTGCGGGCCAGCCCCTTTGGCTTGCGTTCCTGCCCCTGCTAGGCTGCCTGTGGGGAGGGAAGAGGGCTGGCCCTAGGTCCCCAGTCTGAGTGTGCGGCTCAGTCCAGCTGATGAGAACAGCAGCCAATTAAGTAACCGTGGTGAAGCCTGGTCAAGAGCCCTCGGTGTGCGAAGAACAATGTCTACACCTTCTCATCTCATTCTTTCTGAAAGCCTTTCACGACTTTATTGAGGCATCGTTTACGTACCATTGATGTGACTTGTTTTGAGTGAGGAACTCAATGACTCTTATGGAAGTGACAGAATTGGGCATCCAAAACCCAATTTTAGAACGATTCCCCAGAGGATCTTCCTGCCCCTTTGCGGTTAATCCGTTTCCACCTCCGGCTCCGAAGCCCTGGGCTCCAGCTGATCTACTTTCTGGCTCTGCAGCCCGGGTCTGCGAGCTACTGTCACGGCCAAGTCTGGCCAGCTGCCCGTCTTTGTAAATAGCGTTTTTGGGGACACAGCCACCCTCTTCATTGGCATTCAGCCTGTGACTGCTTTCTCCCAGCAACCACAGAGTTGAGGAGGTGTGACGGAGACCATATGGCCCCCAAGCCCTCAAGTATTCGCCGTCTCACCCTTTGCAGCAAACGTTTGCCAGCTTCTGCTCTACGGCCCGGCCTTTTCTGGACGTTTCGCATAAATGGAATCATACCGCATGGAGTCTCTCAAATCTGGCTTCTTTCACTTAGCATAACATTTTGAGATTCATCTTTGTTGTAATGCATGGCAGGAGTCTGCTTTCTTATCCATTCTTACACCTTTCTGAAGACAGTTTTTGTTATTTTTTTAAGATTTATTTATTTGACAGAGAGCGAGAAAGCGAGAGCACAAGCATGGGGAGTGGCAGGCAGCAGAGAAGCAGACTCCCTGGGGAGCAGGGAGCCCGATGCGGGGCTCCATCCCAGGACCTGGGATCATGAACTGAGCCGAAGGCAGACGCCTAACAACTGAGCCACTCAGGCAGCCCTGAGCCCTGTATTCTTGATGCATGTTACCCCTGGGGGAGCTGCCCCAGGTTGCTGGTGCCTGCCGGGTAACGAGCCCCATTACTGGGGGGCCTTCGAGGGGAAGCTGGACCAGGCCTCTTTTGATCGGGTGTGGCTCCCTTTGGCCTCAGCCTTGCTGGAATGCTGCATGGGGGGCACCTCTAGTTCCTCAGAACCTGCCTTCGAAGCAGCAGGCACCAGTCTGCCTTCCAAGGTACCGCCAGTGGGGGAAGAGTGCGGTGGGCTGGCCTCTTGTTGCTCCCCTGCCTTTCGGGGGTGCCTTCTGCCTCCTGGCTCAGGGCCAGGTGCCCTTCAGCCCAGCTGCCCAGACAGCAGGGGGCTGGGAGGTGTTTCGGAGTGTTCCTGCGGTCTGGGCTGTGGGGTGGCTGGGGACTTGCTCCGACCTGGGAAGGGCAGCATAGTGCTGTGCTGAGGGTGTAGGTTCTGAAACCAGACTGACCGCCCAGCCATCAGCCTTGTCCCTTCTTAGCTGTGTGGCTCTGGGCAAGTTACTTAAACCCCTTCTGTGCCCACATCCTCATCCCTCCCCGTTGGGGATCACACCATAGTGCCATCCTGAGGGGTCGCTGTGAGGATTTGATGAGATAAATGCATGCAAAGGACACAGACCTGCCGGCCAGCTGGACACTCAGCTTGACCATGTCCCTGGCTCTCGTTCCCTCGGGGATGCCAGCTTGCTCATGCTGGCTGTGGCACCCAGCTGGGCCCTGCCCTGTCCCGTGCAGACCCCACAGTCAGGGTGGCAGGGTTTCCAGGAGTCCACACCAGGGCTGTCCCAAGGGGTGCCTGTTTTCATCTGCCCCTTCTCTTTTCTATTCTGGCTGGGATGCCTGGAGTCTGGCTGTGGCCTGAGAGGAACACAGACCTGCTTGACCCCCAGTGGAGGCCGCAGAGGTAGTCACTCCGCTCCTTCCTCTGGTGACGCAAGCCTGGCCAGAATGCTCATAGTTCTCTACCAACCCCCACATTGAGCCCTGGCCTCCTCACCCCCCCTTGTGAGATTCAGGAAATGTGGGTTTCCCCTCAGGGCTGTGGCTCACTCTGTGTGTCCCTGTCTCCCCCTCCTGGCCTTCCAGAGGTGAACAGCTCCGGTTCTTGGGTTGCAAAGAACTGAGACCAACTCCAGCTTGCTTTGGCCAAAAAGGGATTTAGAGGAGAGCTTCCAGAGCTGAGGGCCTGGGGAGTTTCCAAAACCAAAGGAGCAACTGGACATGCAGGCCTGCGGAGGGTCCTGGCACGGGAGCCGATGGCTCCCTCCCGGCTGGCTACCCTCCACCCCACCCAGGCCAGTCCCTGACGTACCCTGTCACGAGGCCTCCCAATTCCTGGTTTAATTCCCTTAAGAGAGAAGCTGGTTGCTCATCCTTGGATCAGATACACTGTGGCCCCCCCACCCCCCCGGTGTGGTCTCGAGGGGCAGAGAACTCCTAGCTTGCACATGTCACCCAGATGCCGGCTTCCCTGATGTTCTAGTCCTTCATGTTCTTCAGGGCTCCCCGCGTCTCCTCCATGAAGCTGCCCTGAGCCCTGACCTGAGAGGCCCTGAGCTCAGCCCACCTCTTGCTCTCTCTGCAGAGACGCGTGTGTGTCTCGCTGTGGCGGTGCTGAGGGTCTGTCAGGGCTGGGTGGTGTCTGTCCAGTTCGTGAATCCCTTGTGGGTTGACACTCGCATTCATTCACACGTTTGTAGGCTGGGCCCTGCACTGGGCTCTGGATCTGGGGCAAATGCAGGTGCTTGGGGTTTTGAGGAGCTTCCTGCCTGTCGTCGTGCTGACCCCCTGATGCCAGGGCCTTTGCCCATCCTGGGGGATGTGTATCACAGGCGGGAATTTCCAGTGTGACTTTCCTCGTGGACTTTCAGCCTGCCGCCACGTGGGCGGAGTTGTCCCCACCTCTGAAACCCCGGGCTGTGGTTCCTCACCTTGGGGAGATATCCTATTGGGCTGGAACCGAAGTTCTGGGACGTTCTCGCCAGGCCTGTGTCAGCCATTGCTTTCCTACAGACCTGGTCACAGACTTGGACTTCTCTCCTTTTGATGACTTCCTCCTGGCCACGGGCTCAGCTGACAGGACGGTGAGTGGAGCTGCTGGATGAGCTGCTTGATGTCCCTCCCAGTCCCCTCCAGGGCCCTTGGCCCCTGCAAAGGCCTCCAGAACTGGGTTAGCCCAGAGCCTCAGTTCCTCGGCCTACACTGGCTCCCATGTGCTCCTGTGCCTTTGGCAGGAGCTGTGGCCCTGACTTGCTGTCCCGTTGCTGGGCTGCCTGAGGAGAGCAGGGCTGGGGTGGTGTGGGACACTGGAAGGGATGGACCAGAGCCCCTGCCCTGTGTCTCTTTGCCCCACCCCCATCCCCACCCCTGATGACATGCTGCGATCTTGGGCTGGATTACCCTGTCTTCTCATGGGATACACAGCCCCTGTGCCCAAGTACCACCCCCTGGGCTCACGGACTTACTCTTTCCCGCAGGTGAAGCTGTGGCGCCTGCCTGCCGCTGGCCAGGCGCTGCCCTCGGTGCCTGGGCTGGTGCTGGGCCCGGAGCCCGTGCAGGTGGATGGGCTGCAGTTCCATCCCACTGCCGATGGCGTCCTGGTGAGCGCAGCGGGCACAGCCGTGAAGCTCTGGGACGTGGCCAAGCAGCAGCCCCTCACAGGTATGGACCGCACTGGCTGCCCTCCCCGGGCAGCCCCCGTCCGGACGGCACGCTGTCACCTCCTGTGTTCCTTAACGTGAATTCCAGGATATGTGTTAACGTCTTGTGTGTCAGTGATAGGAAAGGTGGTGAGAGTCTAGCAGGCATATCCCAAATGCTCCGTCCCACTTCCTGTAGGCATCTGTTTTCATTTCATGAAATTGTTTTTCCTCCGTATGCGCAAGTAACTTTCTTAGTGTTGCTTCTTGAGTGGTATGTCACTTCTGTTTTGAAAACAAACTTCTGGCTGCTTCTCTGCCAGACAAGGGTTCTGCTGTCTTGCAGCCCCTTCCCCGAGGCTTCTCCACTCGTTTTCACGGCTGAGCCTGTCTTGGTGTGCTCCAAGTCTGGCTGCTCTAAGCCGCCCCCGCAGCCAGGGTGCCTTATAAACAAACAACAGGAATTCATTGCTCGTGGCTCTGGAGCCTGGACGTCCAAGGTCAGGGTGCCGGCCGACTCGGTGTTTGGTGAGAACCTGCTTCCGGGTCACCGATGGCTGTCCCAGTGCTTTGTCCTCACCTGGCAGAAGGGATGAGGGGGCTCTCAGGACCTCTTATCAGGTCACTGATGCGGGTCAGGAGGCTCCACCCTCGTGACCCGGTCACCTCTCTGAGGCCCTGCCTCCAGACTCTGTCCCAGCGGGAGTTAGGCTTCAGTGTGGGGGGGACACAAACATTCAGACCAGCACAGATGATGACAGCTTTGGGTCAGATTCCTCAGCGAATGGCTATGACCCCATGACCCATGTGGAGGCCTGGTGTTCTGTGGTAATGCCCCGGTGTCATTTCTGCCAAGGCCCTGATACGCGCATGCCCTTTTTAGGGCAAAGACACAGGGCTCCAAGAGCTAAAGGACAGCCTTGCCTTATAGGGCTGTCTGGAGCATCCAGCATGGGTCAGGCTCACCGAGGTGAGATCCCTACCTCTGGGGCTGGGACCAAGGGGGCAACCGAGGGCCACCAGTACTGTGAATTACCCAGCTCCTGGTACCATCCAGGAGACCGGCCTGGCCTTTGAAGCAGAGGGGACGGTCACCAGGCAGTCTGTCAGTAGGGGGTCACCCAGTTGTAACTGCTGTGTCTCAAGCCCTCTCAGCCCCGGACAGTGCTGAGGCCTTCCTGCCAACAGTGGTTCCACAGGCCACTGCTGCCATTCCCATGTCGCAGATGAGGTTAAACAACGGGGTCCAGCCCATGGAGTGGGTGGGCAGCAGGGCTGGGGTTAATCCCAGGGGGAGGAAGCCCGGGCAGAGCGGTTATCTGCTGCTGCAGAACAGATTATCCCAGATCATAGAGGCTTAGAATATTTATGAACATTTATTATCTCGCAGTTTCTGAGGGTCAGAGATTCGGGAGCTGCTCACCTGGGTGGTCCCAGCTCAGGGTCTCTTACGAGGTTGCGACTGAGACGTTGGCTTCCTCATCAGGAGACCTGGCTGAAGCAGGAGGCTCAGCTTCTCAGAGGGTTTGCGGACATGGTGCTGGCTGTGAGGAGGACACCTCAGTCCCCGCCACTGGGCCCCTCCCCGGGCTGCCCCCACAGCCGGAGCTGGCTCCCTCTGGTGGACCACCATGGGGCAGGGAGCAGGGAGGAAGCGTCAGTCAGTGCCTTCCATGGCCCAGCTTTGCAAGTCACACGCCTCCACGTGCTCTTGACTGTCTTCAGCAGAAACGAGTTACTAAGCCCGGCTCCACTCAAGGGGAAGGGAATGGGGCTCCACATTTGGAAGAGGGTGCCTTAGAGCCCGAGGGCTGCCATAATGAAAGCACCACAACCTGGATGACTTCAAGTCACAGAGACTTCCTGTCTCACAGTCTGGAGAGTGGAAGTCTGGAACCCAGGCGTCCGGGCAGGGTGTCACCTTCTGAGGGCAATGAGGGCGAGTCTGTCCCAGGCCCCCCCAGGCATCCCTCGGCTTGTACGTGGTGTCTTCTCCCTGTCTTCTTGCCTGTGCATGTCTGACTGTGCGTCCGTCCATGTTTCCCTTTTCACGAGGACCAGTCCTACTGGACTAGGACCCACCCTGAATGATATCAGCTTAAGTTGATCTTCTAAAAAGACTCTGTTTTCAGACAAAGGTACGGCATGGGTGCTGAGGGTTAGGACGTCAGCATCTTTTTTTTTTTTTTCCTTTTAAGTTTATTTTTTATTTTTAAGTAATCTCTCTACCCAGTGTGGGGCTCGAACTCCCGACCCCGAGACCAAGAAGTCACACGCTCTTCTGACATTGCCAGCCAGGCATCCCAGCATCTTTTTGTGGGGAGACCATTCAACCTCTAATAGAACGAGCATCCCATAATCCGTGGGTGTATTTTAAAACCATCACGCTGGGGGAGGAGCAAGGATGGCCCAAGCAGAGGCCCGGGGTGGGAATGTGTGTGTCCTGGCCACGGGCTGGTGTGACTCAGTTGGGCTGTGTTGGTGAGTGACTGGACGTTAGCCTCAGTGGGACGTGAGAGCAGGGAAGCTCAGAAGGTTTTAGAGTAGAAGTGTGGCCCGATGTGGGCAGGGCTGAAGGAAGAAGTCCAGGCGCAGTGCAGGGGGTCTGGAGGGAGATGCTGGCCTTGCTCCTCCCACTCGAGAGAGAGCTTGCAGCTGCTGCCTCCGCCCTGGGCACCACCCCGAGCTGGGCCCTCCTGTGCCCACTTACCTGGTGCCCCCATTGCTTGGGACAGCGTGGGGAGACCTTGGACCCCCTCCTGACCTTGCTGCTTCTCTGCAGAGCTGGCAGCCCATGGGGACCTTGTGCAGGGTGTTGTCTGGAGCCGGGATGGAGCCCTGGTGGGCACGATGTGCAAGGTAAGTCTTGGGGAAATGCCTGTGGTACGGACTGAGGCGTGCTGGCTCTGTGCGGGGATATCATGCTGGGGAGCGCATGTCCTGGGCTATACCTGGCGGGTTTGGCAATATTTACGGGTCAGGAAAGCGCTTAGGTCAGGAGCATTTGTGAATCTCCTCTCCCCACCTCAGCTGCTCTCACTTTCGGCTTCACATCTGCATCTGGAAACCCCCACACACTCTCGCTACTAGGGTATGGGTCCCTATCAGATCGGGGCTCAAGTTAGGCCCCGTGCTAGCCCCACCCCCAACCCTGGTGTCTGTGTTTGGCTCCCCTCCATCCTCAGCCCACCTCATCGGGCTGCTGTGTGCTTTGTCCACACCACTGTCCTTCCCAGAAGGTCGTGTTGAGCAGCAGCCATGCACAGGGCTTGGTGCCGGCCCCCACATGCACTCAGCTGGCCTCTGGGTCCTCACTGATGCCAGGCCCTGTGCCCACTGGGTCCCTTGCTGGTGAGAGTAGCCAACATGGCCTAAGGCATCATATAGATGAAAAGATCAGTGTGAGCTGTGACGGGGCTCTGAGAGAGGGACACGAGGAGCTCTGAGCTGATTGAGAGGCCGGGGGCTTGGCCTCAGGCAGGGACCCGGGAAGGGAGGGTTACTGGGGTTGGATGGGGAGAGCTGGGCAGAGTAGTGATAGGTGTAGGCCTACAAGGGGCTGGGGGCAGAGAGCAGTGGGCGAGGCTGGAGGCACGTGCACAGGGTGACACTTGTTACCGTAGAAGCAGCAGGAGACCCTGGGATGTTTAAAGCCAGAGAGGGGCGGGCCGTGGTGTGAGGTGAGCAGATTGGTATTTTGAAAGCTTCCCAGTTGCAGTGTGGACAGAACATTGCAGGGATGGGTGGTACCTAAAAGGGATGGTAGGCCACCTCCTCGGGGAGGCAGATGGGTTGATGCAGAGAGGTTTGGGGGACATGGAGGGGACATGGGCTGGGGTGAGGTTTGGGGGGTCAGGAGGCTGGTTCCAGGGTTACAGGTTGGAGGGGAGGCCTGCTGTCCAGACAGGGAGCTTCTAGGGGTAGTTCTCGGCCTTTAAGCTAGCGGGGGCCTGGAATGTCATGGCCTGGAGCTCTGGGTGTCAGTGTGAGCTGAGGGTGGGAGGACAGGTGGCATCTGCATTGCAGGACACCTACCAGGAGAAAGAGGGGTGTCCCCCGAGCAGGAGAGAGGAGGGTGAGAGGAGGGTGGTAGAGTGAGCCTGGAGAAAGGGTCAGAACCTGTGCAGAAGAAGCAAGGAGCCACCCTGTGGCAGGAGAGAAGCTGAGACAGGCTGGCAGTCTATGCCCCTAGGCCCAGGGCAACAGGGTCCCCGAGGGAGGTGGCTGGGGACCCCCGGAAGAGTCTGCTGAGGGGTGAATAACGGTTATCTGTTGGATTTGGGGAGATGGGTGATCTTTGGGACGTCTGGGGATGTGCTGTGTCTTAGAGCCATTCATGAAGGATGGGAAGACGGCAGAGTCTGCAAGGGCTCCTCTGGCGGCTAACTGTAGGAGGGGGCATGGGGGGGTCCTCTTACGGAGAAAATGTGGGGTCTCCATACTTGGGGATCCTGTTTACAAACTTCTCTGCTTTCTCAGAACACCCATTTCCCAAGGTTTTCTTTTTTAAGACTGATCGATTGATTTTAGAGAGTGAGAGTGCACACAAGCGGAGGGGGGCAGAAGGAGAGAGAGAATGTCAAGCAGACTCCACACTGAGCTGGGAGCCCGATGCAAGGCTTGATCTTCGGACCTTGAGATAGTGACCTGAGCTGAAATCAAAAGTTGGATGCTGGGCGCCTGGGTGGCTCAGTGGGTTAAAGCCTCTGCCTTCGGCTCAGGTCATGATCCCAGGGTGCTGGGATTGAGACCCGCATCGGGCTCTCTGCCGGTGGGGAGCCTGCTTCCTCCTCTCTCTGCCTGCCTCTCTGCCTACTTGTGATCTTTGTCAAATAAATAAATAAAATCTTTAAAAAAAAAAAAAAGTTGGATGCTCAAATCGACTGAGTCACCCAGGCACCGTAACCCCGTGTTCCCCCCGCCCAGTTTTTTTAATCAGCTTTTCCCCCCATTCAGTTCATCAGACAGTAGGTTCTAGACATTGGCCTATGCTCTGGGGTCCATGGGGCTGCCAGCCCCAAAGGAGCCCCTGCTGGAAGGCGGTGTGGTTCTCTTACTCAGGCTCCACACAGGAGAGCAAGGCTTCCCAGAGACAATGAGGTCGGGCCTGCCCTCACTGAGGAGGAGGGGACAGGGTTCTGGGCTGAGACCTCCCCCTCCAGTGAGAAGCCCTCCCTGCCCTGCATTTCCACACCCTTCGCTGGTGTGTGAGAGAGAGGCGCACAGAAGGAGACCTGGAGGGACGGAAGGAGATGCTTTCGGGAAATTCTTGCTTTATGGTGACCAAAGTGCAGTCGTTTGTGCTTGTTTCACTAACTTGAGAGAGCAGTGGAAAAGTAAAGAAAAAACCATCACCTGTGATCCTCCCACCCAGGGGCAGTACCAGTCACCATTTTGACATCTCTCTCTCTGATCCCTTCTGAGGCAGGTCTCTCTGTACGTGTGGAGATCACGCCTCCAGGTTCTCCACCCTGACTTCTCTGTTCTGCATAAAAGTACATTCTCCGTTTCATCAGTAATTGAACAAACGTCCGAAATACCTTATCGTATAAGTTTACCAGTTTACTCGTTTCATAGGTTGTAACGTCTGAATATATTTGTATATAGATTTTTGTTTCTTGGGGCGCCTGTGGAGTAGTCAAAGAGGCACCTTCCTTTTACAGAGCTCGGAGCCCAGTGTGGTTGATTCGGTTTTCGCTGTGGCTCCATAAAGATGGATTAGGACGCAGGGATGTCTCCCGGGGTTTCTGCTGCGTTAGACGGCAGCCGGGTGTGGAGTCCACAGGAGGAGCTGCAGGCAGCTACAGTCCAAGGGAGGTGGGGTGGGCTGAGGGCAAGTACAAGGCCAGGTGAGAGCAGTGGGTGTGGGGTGTGGGGGATGCGGCATGAGGGGGTGGCTTGGTCAGGTGGCACCGTGGCAGTGGGACAGGACGGGACATGGGGAAATGTAAGGAGCATTGCAGCTCCCGGGAGAGGGGGCAGTGCTGGCGTCAGGCCTTGGTGGTCAGGTGACAGCGTGCGTGGGGAGGAGGTGGGCGTGATTTCCCAGGAGAGTATGGTGGAGCTGGGAGGAGAACCCAGAGTGTGGGGAAGAGGGTTTCAGGTGTGGGGATTTCGTGTGCAGGGTTGACTGAGGAAGTGTTCGGGAGCTGTCCAGCCCCTCTCCCCAGGGATCAGAGCCCCATTTACCACCTAGTTTGGATGGTGAGGTGGGATGAAGAGCTACCCAGCTGAGAAAGCCCTGTTGTGTCCTGCCCCTTCCTGTTGGCGTGATGACTCAGCTTCTTGCCTGCCGGTGTTCCCGGAGGAAGAATAAGTGTGATGAGGCCACAGCTCATTGCAGAGGAATTCCGCGTCCCCTCTAGACCCAGGAAACCTAAAGCTGTAGGGAGGAACAACGCAGATTTCCCGAGTGGATCCCTGGAGTGGAGCCCTCCCCCAACGCCCCACTCTCCATGCTGTTCCTAGACCTAGGGGCTCTCCCGGTGGGGACACAGTACCTTACAATGCCGTTGTCAGGGTGCAGCGTCCTGGAGGGGACGCTGGCCCAGCAGGGTGTGACCGCCACTCATGACCTGCCAGCGCTGTCTCGGGGCACCAGAGTCCTGCGTTCACTGCCACCCTCTTCTGCTTCAAGGGGTATCCTCAGGGTCCTGGGTGGGTGTGTCAAATGTAAAAACCTGTGGGGAATGGTGCAGAAGGGGAGGCCACCCGATGACTGCAGATCAAGAGGAGAGGCCCATGGGCTCATCCTGAGCGTTGAGGGAGCCAGTGAGGGGGCCGTCCCTTAGCAGGAAGGAGCCTGCGCCCTCCTTCGCCAGTGGTTGCAGACTGGCTCTGGGTTTACACACAGCGCTGCCTGAGTCAGGTGGGGTGTGGGAAACACTCTGCTTCCTCCCAGAGCCCCCCGCTCTCCACACCGTCTCCCACTTGGCTGTCTGGTTCTGCCTCCCAGGACCCCTGATTCCCTCCAGGCCCTGCAGAAGCCCCTTCTGCTCCCTTCCCAGCTCTTCTCATTAAGGGAAAGGCAGGCAGCCGCTAGGGGGCGCGCTGGCCTCACGGATAGTCCAGCCAGCGGCGCTCCCGCTCGGCGTGCTCTGGTCGCGCCTGTGAGCCCAGGGGTATGTGCCCCTCTGGCGCCCAGTGTGACCTCTGGTGTGGATCCAGTGTCGAGTTCCGGCATTTGCTGGCCCGGCTGCCTTTGGGGAGTACCCAGTGTGGCAAGAATTGGAACTTTGACCCATGAGAGGTGCTGCCATCAGTGATCTTCTTCCTACCTAAGCGTCAGGGGTTTGCCGGCATCACCGAGCCCGTAGGTGGTGGAGCTGGTGTCCAAACCCAGGCCCTCGGGCTCTCCACTGGGCTCTGTTGCTTAGCTGGGAGTGAGTGACCTTTGCTGTCAGGAGGCATCTTCTCTTTCTTTCTTTTTTCTTTTCTTCCTTTTTTTTCTTTCCTTTCTATATATTTTTTTTCTTTCTATTCTTACTTTCTTTTTTATCTATTTATTTATTTAAAAGATTTTATTTATTTATTTGACAGAGATTACAAGTAGGCAGAGAGTCAGGCAGAGAGAGAGGGGGAAGCAGACTCCCTGCTGAGCAAAGAGCCTGATGCGGGGCTTGATCCCAGGACCCTGAGACCATGACCTGAGCCAAATGCAGAGGCTTTAACCCACTGAGCCACCCAGCTTCCCCAATATATTTATTTTCTTTCTCTTTCTTTCTTTCTTTCTTTCTTTCTTTCTTTCTATATTTTATTTCCACGTACTGTCTTACCCAGTGTGGGGCCCAAACTCACAGCCCTGAGCTCAAGAGTCGCACAGTCCACCGACTGAGCCAGCCAGGAACCCCAAAGAGGCA